TGAATGGAAAAATGATTTGCTGAGGAGATAGTTCTCGTGATCTCCCCCTATGTATGGCCTTAGACCTCCCGCTGGTTCCATCAAACTAAGGCCTTTTCCAGAGAGAAAAGTCAATGGTAACGTGGCGTGAAGTTTTCGCTGGCCTACTCGCAGTAGCTCACTAGTTATTTGTTCAGTAGGTCATTCCTAGTGAATTTCCGCCTTTCGAAAACTGTGGCTTCGTTGGAGAGGTGATACTTTCAACTACTCGTAAATTAAATTGCGTGGTTTGATTTTACTGCAATTAGAAGCACTTCATCGTTGGGTATTTTATGTGCGCGTTACTTGTTTCATCCGCTCATCAATACAACATCGAAGAATTGATCAGCGTGAAACCCACGGGAAAGTCTGGATCCATTTTTCGTCCTTCTTTACGTTTTGCACTAGGTGCATCAAACACATGTTATGCTTTAAAGGTTACTGATCTAAGGCAGCTTTTGCCAAATTGTCAGGGAACTCAGATTTGTTTTTCAATAGAAAAACACAATTCTAAAGAATAGTGTTTTAACTATTGACAACAAACCTTCGGTTTAGATTGATTTTTGCTGCTGCTGAGTTTTGTTCCGTTGACCTTTAGTGGCTGTGGCTGCTCAGACTGGCGTGGGTGGTCTCAAAGGTCGAACGGACGGCCGAGATCACGTAAAGCTGTAGGCGCGGGCGGCACCGAGGTTAGTTTCCGCCGACACCGACCCTCGTCCTGCCAGAAACCTGGTCGGCAAGGGACAGTAGGCACTGTAGTTTCGGCTTGGGTGTATCCCGAGATGGCGCCTCGAATTTTCGAATGCCGTTGTACCCCGCGGGCTCCTGAGCATGTGAATGTGGACGTGCCTTTCTCAGTTAGCTTGAAATGCTCGCATTATAGATCCTATGCTTGAAGTCACCGACCTAACGCATTGAAATTTTTGTCATTTTATCGACAGGCCGCATTTGAGGAAACTTTCCACTCCCGCTGCCATTGTCACTTTCTCCTTTTTCACTTTCCGTAACGACCTTTACCAGTATTATTATGTGCACGAACGCTCTTGGTGCAATGGTTCGGTAGATGGTTTGGTATGTAATGTTTTTTTGATAATTGATATCCATCCCAATTTTCCCCCGATTTTCCCATTAATTTTATAGAAACTCAAATTTTAGCTTAATTGCGAATGTATGAGGGAAACGCTCTTGTTTAGTAGGTTTCCCGACTTTGTTTCGCTTTACAATCGTTACTTGTAGTTTTGAACGCAAATATTGAGCACTAGCTCAAGTAAGCTGCTCGTCACCTGTCAGCAAACAACTACCCGTGTGCTTATCATCGTCACATGACTGTGATGCCTCAGTCCAGGCTATATGTCCGTTCCCAGTACTTTGTGCTGGTGCTGACCGTATCCCATACGCTGACTTGTGTCCGCTGATCTGTGTGCTGACCTGTGCCCGCTGACCTGTGCGCTGATCTGTGCTCGATGACCCCTCGGCTGACCTGTGTCCGCTGACGTCTGTTTGCGCCCCGGTGCCGCAGGCGCTGCCGGCCGCCGGCGCCCGGAACCGCGTGGAGCTGGTGTCGCGGGTGCTGGGCCGCAGCGGGTCGTCGGAGGGCGCGGCCGCCTCGGGTCTGCTCAGTGGCTCCGACATCAGTCTCTGCGTCCTACTCTGGGTCTTCAGCTTCGTCACCCTGGTGCTCGCCTTCTTCCTTTTCAAAATGAAGAAAACGTATAAACGGAAACACTCAAAGGACTACAGGTCATTTTTCAAGTGATGTCCGAGCGGGGTAGTCAATGTGGTTATATTTTTGGCAACTGGTATTAGTTGGGATGGGGTTTGTGCTTTCAAGGGGTGCGTCGCCCGTAGGCGTAATGCATCTCCTTGGATCTTACCGGGTTCGAACTTGGAAGACATTCATCTGAGGATATTTTTTACCCTGTCTATGTCCCCCTGTCGTGGTGGTCCTGTCCTTTCTGTGCCGTCCATTATTTGGTGTATGGGAACACTCTCCAGCTGCCCCCGGCTCCATTGTTGGAGCTCGAGGCGCAGCTCCTCTCTCACAACTCGCGGTGGGAGGGCCTTAGTGACATTCAGGGCTCCGCTCGTGGTTGTGTCGGTGCCGGCTGTCGTCCGAAGTCTATTTAACAGAGTGACATCGTAAGTCCGCTAGCACTGTCGTGTCAGAGGACACTATGATCCTTTATGCAAATGAAATATTGACGCTTCGTTCAGGGCACGTAGCTTGGGAATATTGCTGTGCGTACCGACTTGGTACCTAAAATATGATATTCGTTAATCGTTGATTCTATGAATCCGTGCTGCAAGATAACTACATTGTATCATTTTTATTAGAAATAACAATTTAACCATACAGTACAGTAGTTAACCAGCGCTAGGTTAACTAGAGCGAGACACGAGCCAATCTGCCACTTGCTAGTTGCAAAACATTCGTCCTATCGTTTTGCTGGTGGTGTGGCTTTTCTGGACTAATCTTGGAGTAATGACTCCGTGCCCCATTCGCTGGCTGAAATCACGAAACTTATGGGCTTAGAGCGCGATTTGCTTACGGTCATTTTTCTGTTGGACTTCAAAGCTCTATTATGGCATTGTTTTTGTTGATTTTTTTTTTATTAGCTCGTTGAATAATCCGAATGCATATATTTTTACATTCCATGAGCTGTCTGAGATTGACTGAGATCTGGTGAGGTGTTTCCATGTATGTTAACGAGTGCGTCACAGTTCTGTTCGTCATGTGCTAGCACATCATATGATGATATGCGTACCTGTCGCGCTTTGAGGTCAGGCCCGCGCCAGAATATGTGATATTTCTGTTAGTTGGTGATGGCGCTTCGGATGAGTTAAGTTTTATGTCAGAATGCTAGGTTTTATGGTTCTCGTGTGATTTTATGAAGAATAAACTATGGTTGATGGCGTGTACAGCGAGCTGCGTTGTAAGGCTGCGAGTTGGAGCGAAGAGGAGCGTTCGGTCCTTACTTGTAGATGTAAGACCCCGTTGCATCGCTAAGTGGTAATTCATTCGATTAGACTCGTGAGCCATATGACATTCATTCGCGTGCTGATGTGAAAGGCAGGAGCGATCCACCGGGCACCGACAAGTATCGGGACCAAATGTCACGATCCAGTGAAAAAGATTCTAACCCGACGTGCCAAGTAAGCGTGTGTCGAGTTCCTCAGGGCAGCTTGATACAGGAGGTGGTATTCGGCTCTGGAGTCCCCCCCCCCCTTTCCCTAAAAAAGAAAATTTTCCAAATGCTTCGTACCAACGAAAGTCGCTGAAAACGGTGTGTTGCACCGTGCACGATTCTATACCTATATTTTTTTATTAAAAGCTGTTCAATTTCTTTCTCTTCGAGGAAGACGCAGTTGACGCAAATTCGTCAATTTTGGCCAAAATAACCGTGTTATCAGCTAAGCTGAGGAATCGAAATGCGAGAAAGGGAACGATTTTTGCGAATGCCCCGACCCCGTGTCTGAGAATTGAAACCCACGAAACCTTTAGTTACCCACAATGCACCAATACCTCATCAGGTGATGCATATTGCGAGGAACTCGATGAGATCTAGGGTTAATTAAGAGCTTGACACGAATTATTTGAAAGAAAAATGATTAATAAACTTATTCCGTGTATTCAACGGACACTGCGGTATTTAGTAGGCATTTTTATGCATCGCAATTGGTATCGATCGCTATATTTACCTGAGAGAAACTAGTAGTATCTATGACCGTGAGAGAAACTTGATCGAAGCCCTGCGGCCCGCATAGGCGGCGGAACGGGGAGGGCACCGGGGCGGGCACCGTGCCCTCCTTTGATTTTGGCATTTTAACATTAGCCCTAGATGGGCATTGCATGAAAAGAGTGGGACCAAAAGTCGGCAGTGCCCCTCCCCCCCCCCCCTCCCCCTTAAATCTTAATTGAAGGTATTCCGCCGCTACTGGCGGCCCGACCAGACGAGTTAAGAAATTTCACATTGGACGACCAACGAGGGACATTGTCACGTGCATGACGTATGTGGGCTTTGGGGACGTAAAATATCGTCTTTCGCGGGCTGATTTCTCATTGGTCGTCGCTAACGATATGTAGACCGATGACCTAGTGCTGAAACAGCCCAGATGAGCACCGAAACCTGCGTTTAGGTAAAATGGTCATCAATCTCTGCTCACTGTAATGCATATAATTTTTCCAAATCATAGCAAGACTTTAAAGTTCAAATAAACGAGAATCGTTGCTCAACATCGAAGACTAAATGGGTAATCATCGATAATTGTTAGCACATCACACCACTAGCTAATGATACAATCATGGCGCACTTTGTTTGCGCGGGGGGCAAGCGCAGTTTTGCGTTTGCGACGCCGCGCTTGACGGGGAGACGTCGTGTACGTGGGCTGTGTGGCTGTGTTATATTGTAGCGATGCCAGTGACATCTTATCTTCATTGCTGAGGCCTCTTGCACCAAAATACCTAGCTAGGTAGAACCGGCAAAATACCTACCTAGTAAAACTACCTACGGCGGTAACTTCTCTTGCACCATCCTACCTTCCTACCTAGGTAAAGTTGACAGCTCGCGTTTTTAGGATTTGTTTTGATTGGCTGTTCGACGACGAATTATTTGTGGGCGCAAACAAATAGTAACTAAAGAAAACAATTAAATTGATATTGTTTTTATTAATATACATTTTGGTATTATGAAATCATTTTTCATTTACGTAAATACCGATAGAAGTTATTTTGATATTAAATTACTTGAACAAATAAGCTTCGTTTCCATGGCAACGAGTGAGTCTTCAACCTGACTGTTCTGCTACGGAGGTTTATCGCCTTGGTACGGAGAAGCACCTCTGTGAACCCATGGAGCATTTGGTCAATTATATTATTATTCACTCATAAAACATTGATTTATCATTGTCTAAACATTTTGTAATGCCTAATTTACATAAAAGTACCCGTGGATTATCGTGTATTGTGCCTATTGTTTCTAATTGAATCATTTTACCTAAGGTTTTGCTAGTTATTTTGGAAGCCCGCGTTTACCGTCAAACCGTCAAAAATTTCTCCGCGAGTACTTCTTTCCGGCTTTCGGTGCAAGAGGAAAACAGCCGGTCGGAGTTTAACAACTGGTAAGTTCCGATGCTGCTCGGTAGAATTTCTAGGTAGATTTTCACGGTAGCGTTTTTTGGTGGGTAGTTTGGTGCAAGAGAATTTAGGTAAAATCGGAATTTACCTAGGTAAGTAGTTTGGTGCAAGAGGCCTCTGATGGAACAATTATTCAGCATTTGCTACTGAGCTAATTGCTTTTTATCCAAAAGCGTTCAGAGTATCCTTCAGGTAAGGGGGAATGATTCTAGATCAGCGTGTTGTGAACGCAGATCAGTACCTATGAGGGACGACGGTGAAAACAGGGCGCCTGGGGCGATTTGATCAAGGTCCGTGAAATTTACACTTGACGTTTAGCATCTAGAAGGCCCACGAAGGGGGAGAAACTCCAAATATCACGTGACTAATATGCCCTCCGGCGCCCTGTTTTCACCGGCGTCCCCTATGAGGCAGGCTTTCATGTCTGGTGGTAGCATCTGGAATTATCTAGACTTTGATAACAAACATCTGCATTTCAAGAACTGATGGCCATTTCCATATTTCAATATTTCTTGCCTATGCTTGACAGGGGTGTAATGTGCTACTATGTTATTTGCACTTCTCAAATTCTGAGTTTCATCATGTCAGTGAAAGTTAAGATATCAAGGAATAAGGCAATGCCAGATGTTTATCTAGGCTCCATTTGGGCGGTGGTGCATGGCTTCCTTTGTGTCGGAGCCGTGCCTCAGATAGTACGATAAGGGTCCACCAGAGGCGCCACCAGTTCCACGGTGTTGGCGGCTCGCAGGGGGTGTCGAAGTCTAGTAGGAAAATCTGGCAAATTCCCTGCGTGACGTCACGTCGGGGATGACCGACGGCACCTTGCACTGAAAGTTACGGCAGAACGGCTATTTTTGAAAAATGATTAAAAATACTTTTGTGCTGTTATGACGCATAAAACGCTTATCAGCATGTTCCTCATCATGTGATAAAGGCATATCCGTGGTCGAAAATAGCTGAGCCCCTCCCAATTTCCAACCACCGACCTCATAAGCAAAGGATGTAAGCGTAATCCTTAAGGGCGACTTTCCTATACATATCCGTACATATGCGTCCTTATGGAAATCGGTAGTGTGGCGATTGGCGACGCGCGCGACATCTGTGTGGCGACCAAGTGGCGACTGTGGCGACACCTGGTGGCTGCTTTTCTGCTGTATGTAGGCATTGGGGTTTTGCCAGATGTGGTTCCTACTGCTACACCACTATGTTGACCCAATACTAGAAAAGTTATTTTGCTAGTAAAAGGCAAGCAAATTGAAAGTTGATTTATAAAATTGCTTATAAATGATTGCGAGATAATAATAAAGAAATTTTGATTGAATAATTATTTTAAATAATCAACCGTGAAACTATATTCTGGTAGGTTTAGTAGAAATAAGTCCGTGCAACCTTGTATTTAGGGCCTTGGCGGCTCGGGCACCGGAGCGACCTTGGGCTCTGGTCGGCGCGTGGCGTGTAGTTCCGCGAGGGTCCACCAGAGGCGCCACCGGTTCGGCGGCAGCGGCAGCCAGGGATGGGGGGGGGGGGGCGGCCGGCGGGTGACCTTTTTTTTTTTTTTTTTTTTTTTTTTTTTTTTTTTTAGTGGCCCTAACTTACGTTACCGGCCTCGCGAGGAGGGCGGCGACCTAACTACGCCGCGCAAAACAAACCGGCCGTCCTAACTAAGACCGGTGGCCACTTTTACACAGCAAGACAACATGGGAAAACCCATATCCATGTACTATGCCATGAATATGGGAAAAAACCCATGAATTTACGTTAAGACACATAAATGACAGTGAAACTTACCGGTAAATTGATGTTTGTGAAGGGAGGGAAGGAGGAGGTTTGTGAATGGTAAGGTTACGAGAGTTGGATGACAGGAATGGTTTGAAGAGTGGGGGATATGTCGCTGGGAGGGATGGGGTTTGTGAATGTTTAAGCGTCACGATGAAAGGAATGGTTTGGAGGATGGGGAATCTGTCGCTGCTGCAGTTGGCGGCCGACGGTTTTCTGTGGACTGTGGTCGTTCAACCCGGCCGCCGCCGCTGTTCAGCGGCCGGGGTCCGCTGGTGTAGCTCGCTGGGCCGCTGAGCCTCTAAGCCTGCTCCAGCGGCAGGAGAAAACCCGTCTGCCACCGAAGCTCTGTGTTTCGGCACCAGCGAAAAACCCGACCCACCCCGTATCACAAGTCAGCCTGGTGGTAGCGAAACGGGCGCCTGCTAACAGTCAAGGGCTAACAGTCAAGGGCCTGCTAACAGCTCTGAGTAGGGTGATGTTAGGACGAAATCAAGTACCAGGTTTGTCAATGTTGTGTCGTCCCCGAGAAGCGTCGGGAGGTCGTTTTTAAGGTGTTGTACCGCAAGATAGTTAGTGATGTGTCTTCGTTCGTGATGCAATGCCGTGCATGCGATCAAAATGTGCTCTACGGAGATGCGTGTGTCACAGGTGTGGCAAATCGGAGGGCCTGTCCTATCAAAAAGGTGGCCATGGGTGAGGCGAGTATGACCACACCTCAATCTGGCCAGGGTCACCTCGCGTATCCTGTCTGGTTGGTTACATGTGACCCATGTTCTAAGTTCTCGTTTGATCGCATACATATGTGCAGCATGATGTTGGTCCCATTTGCGTTGAAGGTACTCGGCGAATTTGATTTTTATCATATGAATAGCGTCCCCTTGGGCCATAGGTTCCACAACTGGATCAGGTCGCATTGCAGCCTCCTTTGCGAGGACATCCGCACGTTCATTTCCTGCAATACCGTAATGACCTGGAACCCAAAGAAGGGTCACATGCTGGCCCTCATTGAGATCTGATGTGATCCTGAGAATATTGTAGATACCGTGGTGGGTAACATTATCGGTCCTTTCCAGTGCTTGAAGAGCGGATTTCGAATCAGTACAAATGGTTGCCCGATCAATCTTTTCTGCCTTGATGTGCTCCATAACTTTTTCGATTGCGTGAACTTCGGCACTAAAGACTGTCGTAAATTCTTGAAGCCGGGTCCCAAACCTAAGCCCAGGGCCGACGGCTGCTGAACCTATCTGATTTTCGTGACATGAGCCATCTGTGAAGAAAAAAGCAGAGTCGCAGTTGAGCTCTACATACTCCTGGAAGAGCATTTGAGCTTCCACCGGAGGTATACTGGTCTTCTTATAATCAAAAAGAAATTCAATGGATAGGTCTTTGAGGAGCCAAAATGGAATCATAGGAGGATTTAGAGTAACTTCAGTGCGCCTAATGTTTAGCAGTTGATGAGCTTGCTCAAGGCACCCGGGTAGAAAGCACGATCTACGCAGTGGGCGTCGGGTTCTTGGTTTCCTCGCCTCCATTGCTGGTACCGCAATGTGATTTCGAACACTTTTTGCTCTGTAGTAATAGCGGAGGAAAAGAAAGACGCGTCGGTCATCAAGTGCTGGAATGACGGTATCTGCACGAAGCGCAAGAACTGGCGATGTGCGAAAAGCCCCAGTTAGAAGTCTCAAGCACGTTGATTGGCCGCGGGTACTGGTCGGTGCGCGGCCGCTGCACGAGACGCTCGGCGTGTAGTACCGCTAGGGTCCACCAGAGGCGCCACCGGTTCGGTGGCGGCGGCGGCGGGCGGAAGTGGGGCACGGGCCGGCTCGCGACCAGTGCGCGACTGACGCGTTGCGTGTGGTGCTGTGAAGGTCCACCAGAGGCGCCACCGGTTCGGTGGCGGCGGCGGCCGGGGGTCGGAGTGACCTTGGACGTTAGTCGGCGCGCGGCCATTGTGCGAAACGTGCTGCGCAGAAGGTGTTGTGAGTGTCCACTGGAGGCGCCACTAGGGTAGTGTTTCACGGCACTGCGCTGCAGCGCGCTACGCGCAGCGGTGCGTAGAGTTTCCATGGAAACATCAACAAACTTGGACGGTCGCAATGCTGAAGCGTCGAGCCGGATTCGTCTCATACGCCGCGTCAAAACAGCAGCGCACTGCAGCGTCGGGCCGTGAAACACCGCCCAGTTCGGCGGTGACCTTGGGACAATAGAACTGTTTGAGTCAACCGAGCAATAAGCCTGCTTGTGGAAGTGTAGCGATAGTCGTAGGCTTTTGTGCAGAATAACGGGATATGGGACGGCTTGACACAGAAATAGTTTTACTCGCCCGGTAGTAGTGACCCACTGGGTGTTGTAGGGTTTTATCATTTGGAAGTTGTGCAAGAGGCGACACCAATCGGAGATAACCTTCAATGACTCCGAAAATATTGTATCAATGCACCCCAAGTATCGAGGACGCGAGTGACCATTTGGCAGCAGTTGAGGAAACGGCAGGTGTACTATCACCAGGTTGAACGAAGAGTGCCTTGTTGGGGAAGGCAGAGCTGCTGATGGCGTTTTAAACGTGCCAACACGAATTACTCCCTGACTGCGAGTGTCAGGAGCTTAGGAGACGACAGACATCCCTAAGCATCTTCTAGTGCTTTGTTGTGTGACTGAAATCCACGGAGATCTTACCTTACCTACAGTACTTCAGGTATACATGGAATTTAGAGGCAGTAGGCCTCTAAATCTCAACAGTAGGCCTGTTGGACCGGAGCTTTACTCTATGTACTCGCTCGTTCTAAGAGTATTGATGGTCAAGAAGAGAGGCGAAGCGGATGGCTTCCCGGTGGATGTCCAGTTGGGATTTAAAGGTGTTGGCAGAGGGTACTGCAACGACGTGGAGAGGCAGACTGTTCCAACTGTTAACCGCTCTGACGTTGAAGACGTTTCGTCTTGCTCTGGAGATGGCTTTAGGCTTGTGGAGCTTGAAGCCGCGACTCCGCGTAATCCCAGTCTTGGATAGGCGGAGAAGTCCATTATCACCATCCGTTGCGTCGTGGTTGACGAACGTCGACGATGGTTGCGCAACGTCCATTGCGCAGATGTCGATCATGTCGCCCCGGCGCCGGCGGTAGGTCAGCGACAGTGAACTGAGCAGACGCAGTCTCGTAGAGTAGTGCTTGGTACGTAGCTCTGGCACCACCTGTGTTGCTCTGCGCTGCACTCTCACCACCACGCTGCACGCTCTCGAGTAAGGGCCCCAGATGCAGTTGCTGAACTCCAGGTGTGGCCGAATCAGGGACATGCAAAGCAAGGACAGACTTCACGCCGAGGTTCGCAAAAAGATTATTAACGAGGCCCAGAACCCTGTTGACCCTTGTGACAGCTGCTGCAGTCTGTTGGTGAAAGTCGAGTGACCCATCGACAACTATTTCCAGGTCCCTCTCGCTCTCCGTGGCCTCCAATGGTCTCCTCAGCATTGTGTATGTTGCTGTCGTGGTTTCCAGGGCCAAGGTGTAGAATGTGGCACTTGCCCAAGTTGAACGGAAGCTGCTACAGCTGCGACCAGCTTCCCAGCTTATTCAAGTCGGCTTGGAGCACATCTGCGGCCTCTGGGGAGTGCACAAGTTGAAACACTTTGCAGCAATCAGCAAACAGCTTGGTGGAGGACGAGATGTGCTCGGGTATGTGGTTGACGTAAAGCAGAAACAGAATAGGTCCCAACACAGAGCCCTGTGGCACTCCACTGGTTACGGTTGATCTTGCGTACCTGGCCCCTTCGACTATGACCTGCTGGGTTCTGTCAGCGAGGAAGGCTCTTACCTACTCCAGAGTCTTGCCAGCTATGTCATACAGGATGTCCGGATATTGCTTGCACACTGTCCATATGCCCGTATCTCGCACGTGCTCCCGCTAAACCGGTTAGGGAGGGTCGTGACCCCATCCCCGGGCACCCCTAGGTGTCAGTTAATCATATGACCCAGTAGGTGGCCTGACCCCAGCCGCAGTGAGCGGCCTGGGCCACAGGTCACTTTTCGAGAGGCAGTCTTCGCGCGGGGACCCCATATCGGGAATGTTGAGGGAGCACCCTTTGGCGAGGCGACGCCCCACCACGCGGTTGGGATGGTTGAAGGCGGGATGATGGTAGGCGATGTTGCCCGACAAGTGGGTGTATCTCGCCGGAACCTTCATTACTGGCTGGCTCTCGACCGCAGCGGTACATCCACGGAGAATCGCAGGGTCGTGGGAGAAAGACTGCTGAGCAGAGTGGCCAAAATCGTGCTCGCCAAAGCCGTGCTGAAACGACACCGAACGACGCAGAAACTGGCCAAAAAAGCTGACTGAGAAGGTGACCCGGTGTCCAAGACTACTGTCCACAACTACATGACCACGTGCCTTGGCCTCAAAGCGCTCCAACTGGCTCAAACTGCGCCGCCAGCCAAAACTGACCGAAGCCCAGAAATGGAAGCGGATGGCATTCGCCCGGGAGCGGAAGAGCTGAACCATCCAGAACTGGCGGCGCGTCTTATTCAGCGATGGGTCGGTGTTCGAGCTCATGCACCCGCCGAATCACCAGAACGAGCGTGTCTGGGCGCACAGCAGGGCTGAAGTGACTGCCATCGGCACGGTGAAGCAACCGATGAAAACCATGGTCTGGGCCATGATGAGTCATCAGGGCTGTCAGAGCTACACTTCGTCCCCGCGGCCAGACCGTGACGGCCCAGCACTACATGGAGGAGGTCCTGAAGAAGTCGGCAGCGTCGGCGATGAAGCGGAAGAGGTGGGCGCCGATGACCACTGTACTTGTAGTCTGGGCGCCCAAAAACCCCAGTTCATCATCGAAGCGGAAGAGGCAGACGGGGCCGCCTACACAGGTCGAGCTGCTCCCGAAGATGTCGGAGGCGACCTTGCAGCAAGACGGCGCTCCAGCTCATCACGCCGCCAGGCGCCAACACTTAACAGTGGTACCAAGACGAGGCTCACATGGTTTTGAGAGGAGGGTGTATGGCCGGGCCACAGCCATGGCCTATCGTCGATCGAGAACTTGTGGGCTATCGTGCAGAGCGAGCTCGACATGATGGAGCCGGCTACCACCGAGCAGGCGCTCACCAGGAACCTCCAGCGAGCTTGGCTCAGCATCAGTGCGGAGACACTGGATAACCTGATGTGTGGCATGCCCGACCGTATGAGGGAGTGTGTGCGGCTGAGTGAAGGGTATATCGGTATATAAACCATGACCCTTGCACGTTTTGCTTCCTTGGCAAATGGACTAGAAGTGTGCAATAAATTTCGGGACACCCTGTTAGTCTCCAGCTTCAATAGTAGTCTACCATGGGGCACGGAGTCGAAAGCCATCTTGAAGTCTAAGTACACAGCATCTAGTGGCTGCTTGGCCTCAACAGTCTGGGTCCCAATATCCATAGCTTCCAGCATCTAGGTACTACAAACTCGTCCAGGCCGAAAACCATGTTGGTGCGGAATAAGCAAGTTGCTCATTGTGAGATTTTGCAGATTCGAAAGTAAACACACGTCACTTGGATTATTAGGCCTCATGCACAGTAGGCGGCACACGATGGCACGCAGCAGTACCCTGGAAGACTGTGGAACTGGCACCAGGTGTGGCGTTGCAGTGGCCTGCCTTCTTGCTGTTTGTGCGATAGCTTACCAGGTCTTTCAAGCTGATTTTTTGTGTATGAGCCGTGAAGTTTGTCACTGTGCGAGATCCCTGCAATTCTTGTGTGACTTTTAAGGCTGGCGCCACTGCTTTAGTAGGAAAATGGACCTAGGTTCAGGTCAGCCTTAAAGTTTGTGAAAGTGGCGACGTGCGGCTGATCCCTGTCGCGACGCACCACCACAGAAGTAGCAACGCTGAAGCGTGTGAAGAGAACGTTCGTTAGACCGATCTGTAAGTGACTGTGTTTTTTTTTTAAGAGAAATTCCTAAAGGCATGCCTCGTAGCACTGCACACTTCACCCAGCCAGCCGCCAGGGAAACTGGCGCCCGAACCATAGGCGGCGGAACGGGGAGGGCTCCGGGGCACCATGCCCCCTTTGATTTTGGCATTTTAACATTAGCCCTATGGGCGTTGCATGGAAAGAATGGGACCAAAAGTCGGCAGTGCCCCCTCCCCCCCTTAATTGAAGGTGTTCTGCCGCTACTGGCCCGAACGTCTATTGACCTTATCGACACAGCCTAGGCAACCCAGTCGGCAGTCCTCTTCCATATAAATCGTACGGCAGACTTGTTGGCCCCGAACCTCCGACCATCATAAGCCCAAGAGGTTTTCCCGAACAGCGTTTTGCTATTGGTTGCGAATCTTCAAAAGTCAGAACCAGCGAAACCTGGCGACAAGGAGCGACTTTGCTTCGGTGATCACCACATCTCGAAGATCCAGCCACTTGGTAACCACTAACCAGGCCGTTTGTTACAACTGCGGCGTCATAGGGTGTTGTGTAACGAGCAAGCCACCGCTCATGACAGACGCTTCCGAGTTCAGAACTCCTTACGTCAGTTGGGGACTTCATCAGAGGAGCAATGCATGGTCCGGGTGGGTCTTTTCCAGTGGAGGTCCACTTCGACAAAGTGTGGGGGCGATGCATTGCGTTACAGATGATGCTAAACGCCGGTTTGTGCACAATGACAACAGGGATTATAGTATTCTTGCGCACGTTTAGGGAATGTTGACGCGCGGTTTGAAGGACCTCCGTTGAGAAGTAGCGGAAAGTCGGTGCTGCTTCTCCTCATGGTAGTTTTACTTGCAGCATCAGAATGACTGGAAACAGTGCACCACCACATCCTTATGACCGGTGTGGTGTCAGTGTGATGCGATCGTCACGCCGTCTGTGAAGTTGAGTGGGCTGTAAATTGTAATCGAAGCTCCGCTTCCACACCAGTGTGGCTGGTGTGTGAGGCGATATTCGTACCGCCATCTGTTGGCCGCGCTTTAAACCTAAGCTCTGCGCTCTCAGTGCCCCGCCACCTAGCGGGCGTATTATGAGCTGCAAAGTGTAGCTTCTGCCCTTGGCCTGCGACCGCCGTCGGGTCCGGTCGACGAACGGACGGGCTCCCGTAATTTCACAATAAATCCGCTGTCGCTGTTATGAGCCTCGGAGATAAGTGGCGGTAAGAAGCAATGGGTGCACACTGATTGAGGCACTTGCTATGCTTAACAGCATAGTAAAGGAAGTGAGGAATTATCCGACACGCATCAGTTGCTGCTAACGCAGAGGTTGCTGCATAATCAGCGAGATAGCCAGCTGTTATATTGAAAGGATTGTCAGCGCTGCGCTAGTCACCTTCCACTGGATCTCTTACACAACTATTTCGAGTGTTATGAACTTATGGTGCTCAGAACTTGAGTTCAATGGTGAAAAGCGCTGAATAAGGAAGGCTCGTATCGGACCTTAGCTGGTCCTGTTGCTGTTCCCGATCGGTAATGTTTCTCGGAAGAAGGGGAGGCAACAACCATGTGCATGTACTAGCTGCCTACTTAAGTTTCGTCTCCTTCAGATAGATGAGCTTTGACTCGAGATCATTCATTCGTAATTAGGGTTCGCCGCCGCTCGGAGTCAAGCTGCTGGTAGGACCTACGCGACCTTTGCTCATTCACATGCCTTAGCGTCGGCTAGTCAACACTAGCGTCCTTTCTCGTCATAGAAGAACAAAATGTGATTGGTGTGGCTTTGGGAGGTATGCCTTGTTGTCACTAGCTGTCACTTACGCACGTTTTCATGTACCTGGGCTTAAAAAGTAAACGCCAACTTCTTACGTCTTACAGATAATCTTTGTCGTTTGGTGGAGACTAACGTAGAGTCAAGCCTTAGAACGCTGTTACGAGTGGCGATTCGAAGCCTATTCAAACCGATTTGCACTTCAACTTGCGAGCTGCACCGCTCGGGATGAGGTAACTTCGGACGGTAAGTAAATACGGTCACATTCCAAGGCAAATGCGGATGAACGAGGTGGACAATGTTTTGACATGTGGTTAGTTTTACCGAGACTAGGAGCGCCTGTTAACAAGACTCTCCATGTGTAATACTGCTCTCCATGTTGGGCAGCGCATAAGTATATGTTGCCTTGAGGTATGTCATGTCACTGGTCTGATATTGAATTATACTCGCTGCATCTTCGATGCCTTCAGCGCCGGCGCTGTTTCTGATATTGCAGATTGCCCTTCCAGGGTCGGTGAGGGGGCTGCCAGTGGCGGCGGCGGTCGTCCGCAGCTACGACCATGCTGTCGGTGCGCCTGGTGACGGCCGACCACTGCCAGGCCGAGCCGGCCGCCGGCTGGGACGTCTGCTACTCCGAGTTTCGCGGCCGGCACGCCACCACGGCGCCCGTGATCCGCGTGTTCGGAGCCACCGCCGACGGCACCAAGGCCTGTGTGCATGTGCACGGCGTGCTACCCTACCTGTACGTGCCGTTCGATGGGAGCGGCACGGCGGCCACGGCGGCCTACCAGCTGGCCGCCGGCCTCGACCGCGCTTTGGCGCTGTCCTCCGGCGCTGGGGGACGCCAAACAAACGCGCTGCATGTGCACAAGGTGGTGCTGGTTGCTGGAATGTGAGTAGATGAAGGTTGCGGAAGGGCGTATTAGGTGACCTCTCGTGATTGTAATGTACGTTGATGGTTGTCTTGGAAAAAAGCGCCGAACGGGACTCATTGAATTCTATGTTGTAATCAAAATGACACGACTTCTTCATCCGTCTTCAACAACCACTTGTCAGTCATCAGTAGACATATGCTTGGGCCAGATGGGTCACTAAGACAATCCGTTTCAGACCTTTTTATGGATACCACAAGAAGAGTCACCTGTTCTTCAAGATCTTCCTATACAACCCAAGGATGGTGTCCAAGGCAGCTGAGCTGTTGCAGGTAAGTCCGCTAAGTGGCCTTTCAAGTGAGATGTTCATCGTAGGATCAGTAAGGGATATTTACCCGTTTGAAGATGCACTGGCATGTTTTATTGTTGGAAATGAAGCAGTACCTTACTACCGTTTTTTGCTGTGACACAGCAACAATCGTCTGTGTATCGGATGATCTTCTACTTTTCTACTAATCTGCCTGCCGATTGACGAACGCTGCCGAATTTCAGAGTGGAGCTGTGCTTCACCGGTCATACCAACCACACGAAGTACACATTCCATACCTGCTCCAGTTCTTTATCGACTTCAACCTGCAGGGCATGAACATGATGCACGTGTCCTCCTACAAGGTTCGCGCACAGTCCGGTGAGTACGGGATCGTGGCACGGAAGTGCCTCAGGAACTTTTAGCGAACGTTGTTCTACCACGTATCAGTTGAAATTTTGTGAGATTATTTGTGCTTTGCCTACATTGAACTAACCTGAAGTGGTCACTTTGTCCTGTTAGGTACGGACAGTTCGGAGAGTTCTGGTCTGCAGCCGGTCAGCTCATGCCCGCTGGAGATTGACGTCCACGCCGCACACATCTTGAACAGGACTCGGACAGGGACAGGTAACTTGATATCTGCGGCGCGAATAGTTCACTTAAGTGGAAGGTCAGTAGCTGATAATTGATGATTCGGCTGTGGTCTGTAAATATTCTACAACATTCCGGATGACAAGAAACGAGAGTTAATGTTGCACCCACCAACTACGAGTTGAGATGCGAAAGTACTTCGCCAGGCGTAAATGATGCACTCTTCTTTTACAGACGCAGGTAGTGGCAACCCAGGTCTCGCGGCCATCTGGCAAGAGGAGCGGGCGCGTCGGCGGCAGTTGGGTGACGGCCGGGACTCCCAGCCGACGCCGGAGCCACAGGATAGCCGACCGGCTCCTCGCCAGTCTACGGAGATAGCGGCGCTCGCTGCTCTGGCGGCTCGGCTCTCCGAACAGTCCCAGTCTCAGGTCAGAGCATCTCTGTTCGGGACTGGAAGTCTAAGCTGCTTATATCATGGGCAACACGATTCCAGGAATAATGACCCGATTCTCAAAGTTTGCCTTGGGAGAAATGATACCTACTTTGACATATGGCATGGGATTATTTTTCACCTTGATTCACCGTGACTGCCTCAGACCTTGATCTTGAATCTGCCGACGCCGTACAACTACCTTCACTGCATAGAAGTGAGGTTCAATATGACTCAATCTGTCCCATCTCTTTCAGCTGGAGTTGTCGTCATCTGAGCAGGCGTCGCAGTTGGACGCCACGCTGCCAGCCGAGTGTGCCGACGACTCTGTCTGTCCGCCGGCCTGCTCTCTCGGCCTTCCCGAGCTCAGCCAGGTGGCCAGTGTCTCTCCTGTGGCACCTGGTCGGCCGCCGGATCGAGGCTCACCGCCACCGGGCACAGACGTGGACGAACAGCTCGTGCTGGAGCTGTCACAGCGTGCTGACTCGTCCGTGCGGCGTAAGTACGGGGTCAGGTTGAATGAGTGATGATGGAAAAGATCATGACTCTACTTCCTCGCTGTGATTAGTATTTTACATGAATCTTTGTTGCGTGTTATGAATTTTTTTTTAATGAAATGAAATGAATGAATGAATGAATGAATGAAATGAATGAATGAATGAAATGAGTGAATGAAATGAAATGAAATGTTTTGAAATGAAATATCATTTTTGCATCCATTTTGTATCGATGACTGTCTTAGCCTACGTCGATTAACCTGCGTCCGTTAAAAAAATGTGCAAATAACGTTTGATAGTGCTTTTGATCGATCTACAACGCATTCACTCGATACGGTTTCATCCGCAGTGGACTCTCAGGACGATTCGCTGGCGGCGGCTCTGCTGTGTCTGCTGTCTCCCGGCGGCGAGGAACGCCATTCTTCAGAGGAACAGCGGGAACAGGACGCTCAAGACGCCGCTGACGAGCTGGAGATGTCGCAGGTGGTGTGGTCCCAGCACGATGAGCGTCACCACAGCCCGACCATGCAGCCAACACGGTAAGCTCATCGAACTGGCGATGTTCTGTGGACAGGCGAGTGATGAGGTTCCCTAGGTGTGGTGGATAGAGATTGCCCAGTCAGCGAATTCTTATCATTTGATGATGTTCTTGTTTTCTGAACAGATATTATTTGGTTTTATGTTTATTTGTCTAGAGAAGGAAGCTTCTGGCTACTCTCAATAAGGTTGTTCTCTGCTTTCAGGTCGAGAGAAAATTCAGATTCGCTCTGCGATGACGTTGAAGGTGGCAGATCGTCAGACGGCCTAGTCGGCAATCATTCACCCGTTAGCGCTGGGGGAGAGAAAACGGGACTGAACACTCCTGGAGCCAATACGGTGCCTTCGAATGCCTCAGATGTACCGGCGGAAAGCCACCGCAGATCAGAGGAGTCAGGAAAAGATTCCCCGCCACCAGTAACTGAAGGCCGAGAGACGACCTGGCGGCTTCCGCAGGTGAGGAGGCGTTACAGATTGCATCAATGGATGTCTTGGGTGATTTTGACCACTGCTTCCATCTATCATTTCCCGTGGATGACGCGATTTAGGCAACCATGCGATTTGCGTCATCCTTATGTTACAAGGAATCGAGTAGCTGATATTTTGGATGCATTGAAGCGCTTTGACTGTATGGTTTTTAACTGGGGCATGTTGTGCTTCTCAGCTGGACGGAGCAGGTGATGAGGAACCGCCACCGGAGTCGAGACGCGTCTGGCGCCTGGGGACCACAGGGCGGCGCTGGGCATCTTCTTCCTCTGGCGTTGGTGGCGCCTTCAAGCCGGTGGTGGAGACGGGCGCACCAAGTGGAGTCGCTGGTCCAGCGGGTGACGGACTCGGCGGGGAGGACGCTCCGCAGGACCGATGGGACGGAGATGGTGTGCGAACTGGGAAGACGAGCTTATTGGTGAAGGGTTCGAGTGAAAAGGCAGGCCGTGAAGCTGTCCGATTGGTGGATGATGACCTTGCGACGAGGGAAAATGCGGCTTCCGGCACTCGGGAGAGCACTCTGATAGAGGGATGTGCGACGGCTATGATCAGCGGCGATAAATTAATCCTAGAAGATGTCGTTGGCGACGTTTCAGTGGCGACAAGAGCTAATGACAGGGCCATGGTGAAAAATGTGTTGGTGGACCGCACAGCAGGAGAAGTGAGTGAAGATGTGCTTATGCCAGAGAGGACTGAGAACAAAGAGCTGATGGGAGGGTTGCGAGAAGATGGCGTGATGACTGATGATATCAGTGACTACTCAATGACAGACGAAAGGACGATGACAGTGACCGAAAAAGACACTGTCAGGCCAGAAACGGATAGGGACGAAGAAGCAATGAATGGAGACGATGTCCAGCTCAGTATATCGGCTCAAGAAGTTAGCCAGCGAGCTGCAGCGCAAGAGGTGGTCACGAACAATGACTGTATGACGATGAACCCGAATGAGATGGATTGTGCAGGAGTAGAAGAGATTCAAAATGACAGTGCGATGATAGACGAGCCTGATTCCAACAAGGAAAGTCCCGAGCAAGAGTCTGCAGATGAAACAATGACTGAAGGAAAAGGCCAGGATCAGGTCATGACTGACGACGACAGAGACAATGAAAATAAGGAGGAAATCACAGATGCTATTGTATCGGAAAATAGTGGCGACAAACCAAGGATGGAAGGCGAAATATCGAGTGAATTCACGATGACCCAGGAGATCACGAAGCCTACTGCACAGGTGAGGGATAGCTTGATGGATGTTTCCATGCCGGAAAAGTGTATGAAGAGCACTACTGTGGCAGACGACAATGTAAAAGACGTCACCAAGATGGACAATATGGAGAAAGCTGGGACATCAGCAGAAGGTGGCGATGAAAATGTTACGATGTGTCAAGATAGCGCCTCCGTGGCTGACGATGCTCCGATGGTTGAAATAGCCGGAAACAGTAGCAAGGAAGGTGGCTGCAAATGTGTGGCAGATGGAGAAGAACGGAGAGAAGCATCTACTGTTGAAAACGATGATATGAGGCCTGTCGTTCAGTCATTGCTTTGTGCAAGAAACGCCCAACGGAGTGAAGAGCAGCAGAGAAGCGGAGCTTCAACTCTGATGATGGATGACACTGGAACGAACCCAGAAATCCGGGAAAAGAACACCACAGACGCTTGTACAAATCGTCTGTCTGCCATGAAGGAAACTGACGATCAGTCAGAACCTAAGGATGGTTCTCTGGATGTCGAAAGTTCGTCACGTGTCGATGGTGGTCAAAAGGCTTCAGAACGGGTCACAACAGGCGCGTCTCGCTTGAGGATCGTTTCTCAGTCTGACAGCGAATTTTCAGTAGATTCTGCCTCCGACACGAATAGCCTGGTATCTATGGCGTCTCTTCTAGGTAGTCCTGTCGTTGTCCTCTCTTCACTCGACATACCAGCTTCTGGAATTTGTTCTCCCCAAAAGACGCCGAAGAAATCGAAGCGCAGTGCCTTCCGACTCAGCGCACGCAAGTACGAACGGTGGCGTAGAAAGGAAAGGACAGCTCGTGCCGGTCATGTCTACGACGCGGAGTCTGCCAGAAGAGCTGCAAGTGACGCACGAAGTGACGACGACGACGTCTCGTTGTCTGGGGGCAGCGAGGGCTACTCATCGAAAACAGAATCGGAGCGGAGTCGGTACAGCTGGCGCTACACGCCCACTGTGGATCTGGGCATGGCGTGGCTGGCGCTGCCCTCTGGTCAGACTGAGAGCGATGTGTGGCGCGCAGTGAGCGCAGCCGTCCTGGTGTCGCCGGAGGAAAGGGCTGCTGCTGACCGAGCCGATGCTAAAGACGGCTCCGTGTGCGCCACGTCAACTCGCTCCTCCTCAACGGGGCGTTCAAAAGATGACAACGCTGACACTCAGCAGAGAGAGAAATCTGGTCGCCCACATGCAAAAGTCTCTTCAAACGCTCCACCTGCGGCGAAGAAGCTCAGTTATACGGAAAAGCTCCTAGCAAGGCTCGATATAGATCTGGACCCCATCGTCCTTGTGGAGAGACTTTCACTTCACACTCTGAGCAAGCCACAAAAACCTACCGGGGATCTTTTCAAGTTGCGGCTCAGCAGAAACGCTAACAAACTGAGTTTGAGTCGCTCTCTGGCAGAGCGTGCAAAAACATCGGGCAAGACGGACACATCCAGCAGTCTGAGTGCCGCTGCGCGTAAAGCCAAATCGAGCATCACCCAGGCCAAGCGGATCATGAACAGTCCCACGAAGTCCGGGTTGAAACATCCGCAGATGAGGATAACCAGCGTTAGTCCCACCAAGGCGACGAAGCTCAGCAGCAGTGCCAGCAAGGTCAGGCCGTCTGGTCGCAGTCCTGCGTCAGCTCGTAAGGTACCTCTGTCGATCACTGTATCTCCACAAAAGAGACCTGGTGCCGGTACCTCATCACAGCCCAGTAAGAAAGCTCGCGTGAAAATCACGCCCCTTCGACCGCTGTCCAAAGTGCAGCCCAAGGCTCCCAATGTGACCAAGCCGAGCCCGTCTGCTATCAGAAGGGACAAGAGTCAGCCCAAGCGTTCTGTGCAGAAGGGTGGGTCCGGTCATGTCGAGGTGCTTCGCTGCCCTCACTCTAACCTGATCTGGGATGGGCACAATTTTGTTCGTCCACCGTCGCCGGAACCGTCGGAGGCGGCATCGATCATGGACAAGAGAAAACAGTCTGAGACCACGCCAGCAAACCATGAAGAAAAGAGGCGTGTCACTGACCCATCAGTGTCGGGTCAGAAGGACCTCGATGGGTCCATCCCAAGTGATCCGCCGAGAGATAAAGGTCTTCGACCATCAGCTAAACAACGTCCACTCCTGACAGGTGTTAGAAACCCCATCTATAACCCAAGTCCGGTCGTGACACCTGAAGTATCGTCGCCCGCCTTTGAGGCTGCTCAGCATGTACCGCCACCGGCCAATCCACCATGGCATGGAGGACTGGCGCAGAACATTGGTTGGATGGGGTCTCAAGACTGCGACGCGGCAGAAGAGGAGGTTGATGTGAAACCGGTGCTGTGTTCTCCGGTGGGCTCAGCAGTGGACTCACCTATGCGCTCACCCGTGCTGCCACTGCAGGTGGAGCTTACAGTGCCACCGTCTCCTCAGTCTTCTTCCGCCGGTCCCGCGGGCTCCTCCCTCCACCGCGAGGGAGCCGTTTCTCGAAATTTGTTCACTGGCCCTGTCGACGGTCAGCAAGCGGCTTCTCACTCCCAGCAGCCGAAACCAGCTCACCCATTGGTCTCGCAGCCGACGTCACGATCACAGCCGCCACTGTTCGGTCGAGGAGCAGGTACCGCTGCTTTGCGACAGAGAAGCTACAGGCTAACTCGATCCTCAGACGGCAGCCTGATTGCTGTGCCGCTGCAGCCGGATCAACTACTTCAGCCACAACCATCGGTGATTCCACCACCTCGTCCTCCTCTCCCTCCCCCGCCGCCGCCACCCCCTCCTCCGCCCTCACAAGCGCCTGCACTTCGACCCTCCAGCTCTTTGACGCCGCTCGTGGGAAATCGATTGCTTGTAGGGTCCATTGAGGTGACGGTCGGTGCCGGTGATCCGCCTGTGGTGGCTGTTCGTCGGATTGGAAACCCCAGCAAACAACCACTCACCCCAGCAGAACTCAACAGTGTGCACAGCGCGCTGCAAAATGCCTTGAAGGTCAGGGGGCTGATCTCGTCGGAGAGCCGGTTGCATGGACCGCAGTTGCTACGGCCTCAGATGACAGGGCCGGCTGCTCCTGGCCCCGTGTATGAGCAAAGTCTGCAGTTCCGTCAAATAGAAGAGCAACGCCGGCGAGAGCTTCAGCAACTGCAAGAGTCCCTTCAAAAGCAGCTGCATTCTAAGCCGCAGCAGAAACAAGGTCTGCAGGCGCAGCAACCGCAGCAGGTGCGGCAGGAGCAACAGCAACAGCAGCAGAAAGATCAACCCGCTCGGCCTCCACCACATCTACATAGACAACCACCCCTGGTCGCTATACCGTGGCACCACGGTTATTCCGCCCGTTACGGCAATGTCAATGGGGGACATACTGTATCCAAGGTTCAGTTCCGCCCCATCCTTCCCAACGTTTCCGCCACTTTGCCGTCTCAAGATGCTCTTGTGGTGAGTAATGCCCCTTCGAACATGGCGTCCAGTAGCTGCACTTCACGTACTAACGCCGGCCCTCGAGTGGTCCAGTCATCGGGGCAGTCACAGCCAGTGTCGCTTCAGCAGCAAGAGCGTCAGCCTGCATCCGCAAGCGCAACCCAAACTACACCTCGACCGCGGCCACCAGCTCTGCCGAGATGTTTCAGTCCAGTTTCATACATGGCAGCGGACAGCACCAGCGTCGAAGAAGCGAACTCGCGGTCCGTGCCAGCGGCAGTCAGTGCCGGCTCAGGGAAGTTGAGATCACCACCAACTCAAACGACCGTGCGAAAGTCTACGGGAGAGCAGCATCGTTCTCAGGCCACCACACCGTCTGGGATCAATGTGACTGGTGCCTCGTCAAGTGACGCTTCAACTCCTGAACCCGTGATTGATGATGACTCAGACTGGGAGCCGGGTCACAGCACCAGTCCAAGTCGAACCAAGTCCAAACGGTCAGCCGATCGCCTCATTGGAGATCCCAGGCAGTCTGATCACACATACTCTCCCGTTGTCAGGAATCGAAAGCGTGTGGAAGTGAACAGTCGACCGCGACCCGCCTCTAAGAAGCCACAGAAGACCCATTCCTCTGCAGGACACGGCCTATCTGATATTACTTTGGAATCGTTGCTATGGCCTCGCTCGTCTCGGGTCCCGGAGGAACAGGAAGACAGCATGCGCCATCTAGCCTTCCTGTCCTGCAGCAGCGCAGACAACAGTGGCGACCTGTCTCCGCCTGAGCCAACCACTCCAAGACAACCTGAGCGATCGTCCTCGTCCGGACTCTCCCACAGGAGCACAGGTGAGTTGGTCGCACTAGACGGTCTAAGAATGTTTCCGTTAGTTTTTACCATATTTTTTTGCAATTAAATACTTTTCAGTTGCTTTCTTTTTCACCCTGTGGAGAGCATTAATCCAATTTTATTCCGTTGCCGGTCGGGTATCTGTCATCATGCTACCGGACTTAAATATTTAGAGGTTTTCGAATGACCTCGTATTTAACGCACCTGTAAAGCCCAATTATCTCACAGTAATTTCCATCGGTTTAAGCAAAGAGCAACTCGAACTTTTAGTTGCTAAGGTTTACTGTTTGTTTTTGATAATGCCGTTCCGAACATCCATCACTTACGCTTATCTTTTTTGTGACAGGTGGTCCAGAACGTGCCAAAGGCAGTGGTGGCAACCGCAGCAAGTCTCCGACGTCGCCTGGTCGGCGCCCGCTGTCATCTCCAGAACTGTTTGAACCTCTGAACGCTGAGGCGTCTTCCGACTCTGATTCGGACGACGTACGGGTGGAGTCGCCTATACCGCAGCGGTCCAGTGGTGCCATATCATCAGCATCGTCAAGGCCCTCTGACACCGCCGACGTCAATCCCCCTAGGCTCAACCTCACTGTCGTATCCGATACTGCCAACGCACCTTGTCGCATGAACATCAGCGTAAACGCCAATGCATCAACTGCTAGTGCCATCCGCATTCGCCCTCCGCTCTCCAATGAGCCATCTGCTTTGTCACAAGCTTGGAGCTTCGGTGTCAGGTCACCCCGTATGTCTCGTGATCCTGGCAGCTCGCAGGTCACCAATGGCAGACGGGGATCGAAACATTCACCGTCCGCTCGTCGGGTGGCCAGACGTGGCGGTGGTTCAGCCCGGAGCCGAAGCAAGACACGACCTACGCAGCAAGTGGATACCTTTGGTACAGAGGTATTGATTCCTGTAAACAGTGGAACATCGCAGCCCAGGGTGCGGACGGTAGTGCCAGACGCCGCGTCTGAGACTCACTCTATCGGCAGTGAAAGGCTGGCTGCGCCTCGACCTACGCCGCCTGCCAGATCAGCTAGGAGTGTGGGCACACCGGTCGTAGGATGGAACTCGTCTTCTGGGGTACCCGTACTGTCGACGGGAACCGGGACAAGGCCAAGGGACGTAGCAAATGCACGTTCAAAGGGACATCGAACAGATCGCGCTGCTTCCGTCCGCGCAAGTGCCAACACGTCACCTCGGGCCAGGAACATGCCGACAGCTCGGAAACGTACTTACTCCTCGACAAACAGATCAAGAGTCGCCAACAGTACACCCGACCCGCCAGTTCAACTGCGGATAGCGGAAGTAACCTCATTGGCCAGGACACCGCGTGAGGGAAGCGCTGCTGCTCGTGGAAGCACACCCGGAAATGACAGTGCTCGCACCGTTGGAGTCACTGCTGCAGGCGGCGACAGCGATGATGACGAGATCACAATGGTGTTCGACAGCTCTCAGCGCCAGGTGGAAGTCATTGATTTGGACGATTCCTCGGATGAGGGGCAGGGAATGGAAGCTGAGACTCCCGTTAGGGATAGGTCAAGCAGCCAACAAGTACGTCCTGTTACCTCAGTTGCTCCGTGTGGTGCTGGTGCCAGCATATCCGATGGTGGCACGCGGGGGCCTGGGAGTCCAGCGCGTAGCGCCCTGAGAGGCCGACCCGACCGTCCGTCCGATAGTAGCTCTAGAACGGAAGGCAGCAATAAAAATGCGCGACAGACGGCTTCATTACGAGCGGTTCGTCTGACCCGCAAGCGTGACAACTCAGAACCAAGTCAGCCGAGAAACAGCGCTTCGAACGATACTCCGCGACGTGGTGCTGGAGATGGGAACACTCAACGTCCCACGATGAATGACTTTTTCGATGCACTTACCATAGGTGCGGATGAAGTTTTAGGGAGCGACGCGGGGGTGGGTTCGTCTCTGTCATCGATCACCCAGGATGCTGCGAATGGACAAACTTCAGCTGGAAGTGAAGCTTCTCGAAACCTCCCTTCTGCACCAGGCGCCACGTCATCATCGACTGAGGACATGATTGACGTGTTGAAAGCTGCTGCCAGGGAATCTCTTGAGCCTTTGCGCGACGCGTCAGCTGCTATACCACAAACACAGGAGTGGGATGACGCAGAACCGGATGTCCTCCCCTCTCAAGGGTACAATGATCCAGGTGTCAATGCTAGCTCGCTTGCAGGCACGACCTGTAGTGCTACAGACCCCGAACATCCAGCTGAATCGAAGGGCGAAGGTGGCAGAAGGGACAGTCTCTCTTCGGATGATAGTTTACCGAGCCGATTGGTCATCTGCAGCCCCCCGTCGGGGCCGAATTCAGGAGACCCTGATCCATCCTCGCCGAGAAGCGCAACGAGGGATGACGACGACGCTGATGAATCCGCCTACCTGCCGATTCGCATGAGCTGCTTGTACGATGGCGACGCGTCTCTAAATGCCGACAGCTCGTCTCAGTCTGCGTCGCCTTTCATTCGGGTTGAGTCTGGTCAGAAAATTCCCAGGCCGACATCGCCCGTCGAGCGGTCTGATAAAGTGGACCAAGAAAACGTGGTGCTATCCCCACCTGGTTCTGGACCCAGCGGACCAGGCTCGCCAGGGTTTGATGACGACATTCAGAAAACAGGGGAGTCTCTGTTCGACATGGTTGAGGCCATAGAACAAGACTCGTCCACGTCTGAGCAGCCGTGTCCAACTCACTTGCCTTCAGCCACAAAGCTTCCAAGCGGATCAACGACAACATCTCACGTAGCAGCAAACGCTGTTCCGCAGTCAGAGGATAATGGCTTGGGACCGAAGCTGATGGAGCCAAGTTCTCCGCAAGCGGCTGAACTGTCCCCCATGCTGGACGAGAATCATGTGCCCGAATCATCCGTTCGTGAGGGAGACGTCGTAGCGTCTGAGGCAGGCTCATCGCCGACAGAACATAGTGTGGAAAGGCAGGCTCAGCCTGGAACATCCATCCGGACGTCACTGCCCAGTCCTGTGACAGGGACTCGACCAGAACCCAGTAAAGATTCGCCTGCGAAAACTTTGTCGCCCTGCTCTCCTAGAAAAGTCCAAACGTTTGACGACGCAGACATGTTTGACGACAGCTTGGAAGCATACTCGCTGTCCACCGTCATTGACCAAACAGACGATTCGATGCCTCCACAAAAGAACCCTGGTACTGGCATCCATCAAAGAAGCCCGTCTCCGCCAAAAAGCACAGCGACAAAAGAGTTCGGCAATGAACAAGAACACAACACTCCAAAAGATGCGAGCTTGCCAAAAGCTGGGACTTTGAATTATAGCAAAGTGGACGCTGTGCCGAAGGACATCTTTGCATCAAGCAGAGTCGATACAGCATCACCACAGCATGATGAGACTGCATCCTGTCTGCAAGCTGGAGCGGGGCTGGATCAACTCCCAGTGATTGATACGGCGTCCGCGCGCTCTGAGAGTATCAATGAGACACTGAAGCTATCACCTAGTAAGGTGACATCAGGAGAAGGGCTTTCTCCGAAGTTCTTGAGCACTGTGACTGGCTCGGATTCGCTACGACGGGTGTCTGAAACGGGGTCTGATGCGCGTGTGGATGAGATTTCGTTGGAGTCGACAGTACAGTCTCTGGAATGCTTTGAGGAGATGCCACACAGCCCATCTCCGCAAGCCTCAACAGAACATGATGGAACGCCACTGGTCGGTGGTGGTGGTGGAACTGAACCGGTGGTGTCAAAACCAGCAGGTGTAGTACCGGTCATGGATGCTTCAAGAGCTTGTCTCTCTGATACCTCCACAAAAGCAACAGTTGGAGACACTGATGTCAGTGAATCGGAAGTCCAAAGCCACGCGAATCTGGCTACTGGAAGCATCCCCACCAAGCCGGATTTTTGTGAAGCCCCACTGGTGTTATCAGCTGGCGCGGAGACGCCGGCGTCTGCTGCTCACTCGAATACGGCCCCCGCGAGGGACGGTGTGGCGGGCTCAGACGATACACCAGTGGGGCTTCTGGAGGGCGGTACCACTACCGACCGTCAAGACCGGCCCGATCGACCCAATCGAAATCCTAACATCGCGACATCATGCGCATACTCAGGCACTCGCTCTGGTAGAGTGTGCCTGCTGCTGCCTCCCCCGCCCACGGTCGACTCAGTGATGGCATCGCTGCGCTCCGAGGGCCTTCCATCAGCACCCACACGCCCGGTCCTGGGCGTGGGTCGCGCTGACTCCTCTCTGCCACCGTTCGAGGGCGAGTTCCAGTCGAACGGGCTATACCACTGGCGTGCGGTGGGCGCGGCGGCTGGCGCGGACGCCGCGGACGTCACGGCGCTCGTCTCGGCGCTGGGGGAGGGAGGCGGCGCCGCCCTGCTCGCCAGTCGCCACCGCTGCACTCTGACGCCAGCTCGCCCGCCGCCCAGTCGCGCGGCGGTGATGGCCTGGCTCAGTGGACGACGTCCCCACCGGAGCGGGCCAAAGGCCGACTCTTCCGACTCCTCAGCCAGTGAGGACACCGACTCCGAGGACGACCACCAGAACGCCACCGAGCCCGGAGAGAATCAGAGCACGACGGCGGGGCCCAGCAGCGCCAGCACTCCCCTCCCTGGGCCGGCTAGCTCCTCCGGCAGACCGCCCTCGGCGCTCGGACTGACGCCCGTCTGCGGAGAGCCGGCCGTGCGGCGGTCGGCCGCCTACGGCACGGTGACGTCCGTCCTCACACCGGTGCGTCCCAGGCCGACCAGACGGCGCCGCCTGGTGCCGCCGCTGCCCGGACCGACGGCGGGGGTGGGGAATCCAGCGGGTGATGGACGGAGGAGACTGGAGAGGGTGGCAGAGATGGAGGAGGGAAGACAGGAAGCGGGGAGTGAAGAGCCGGGGATTGGAGAAATGTCAGCAAGCGCAGATAGACCGGCGAGCGGAGAGACAGAGAATGGAGGTAGGAGCGGAGAGGCGAAAAGTGGAGAAAGGTCAGCAAGTGGAGAAGCGGAGAGCGAAGAGCTGTCGGCGGTGACGGGCGGTAGCTCGTCTCAGGAGACCCGGTTCTCTGGCACCAGCGGCGGCCGGGACTCGCGCCTGGACAAGGACCCGGTCCCGGTGACCCCGGGCCGTGACCTGACCTCGCCTCTGCTGCCGTCGGCCGCTGGCCGGCACATGACCTCGCCCCTAGAGCCGTCTCTGCTCATCAGTCCCTCGTTCGGCCTGCCGAGGGCCAACAGCACAGACAACTCGTTCGGCTTCAAGATGGACTCGGACAACCTACAGGAGGCACTCTGCTCCCACGAGGTGAGTTGTTCATATTTTTACCGTAGTGTACTTGTCCTTGCGATTATATGGCTATAAGTGGCGGAACTCGATAATTTGATAAAACGGTCATTGGCTGTAGTCATTGGCTATGTTTTTCATTTTAGTTCATCACTCGTTTAGTTGTCTTTTCATTCAGGTTATCTTTGCAGATTTGCTACTGAAGCCGTTCATGATGGCTGATCTTTATTGTTATGCGAACTCATCCATCATTTACATGTCTTTATCTTACCTTCTCCCAGCCTCAGCTCTAATGCCGCTCCTCAATATCGTTCGCAGTACCAGTACCTGACGTGCCTCAGTCTGGAGGTGCACGCGCTGACCCGCGCCGACCTGCGGCCGGACCCTGAACATGACGCCCTGGTGGCGGTGTTCTACCACATCACTGACGACGTGCCCGAAAATTGGGTCCGACCCCGGGAGACCACCGGTGAGCAGCCGATGGCGGGGATATGTGATTGTTGTTAGGAGGAGATTTGGAACATGATTAGTGTGATCGGAAAGTGCGTACATTACCTACATGACTACTTACAAGCTTCAGGTCAAATACTAATGTCTCCTTTGTTTGTAATGTATAGGTGTTACGAACTTATCGTTGCATTAGGGGAGAGTGGGGAAAGATGCCCAGGGTTTTGCTATGTCATATATTATTCGAAAATGACGGTGGGAAAGCAAAAACTTGGAGTTTCAACGGAAGCCGACGTCATTTTTCTCCAAAAATATCACACTTTCGTGCCTGAAATATTATAACTTTTTTTGCTATTAAGCATTTTCCTGAAGAACTGAAAGGGGGCATCTTACCCCACAGGGTGGGAAAGACGCCCCCTGACGTTGGGAAAGATGCCCCCTGCACTATAAGTGACATAAATGGGCATGTGAATCGCCTGAACGAATCAGTAGTCCCTTCGAGCCTGCAGTAGACACCAAACGTCATCATAAGGGCCCTCAAAAGTAGTCGTAAGGGGCTTCAGAGGTCATCATTAGGGCCATCATAGTCCAGCGCGGCCAAACAAGCCTCCGTGGTGGCGTTCGGAGACCACTGTAGGGCTCTTATAGGTCTTCATGATGCTTGAGGGCCCTCGAGCCCATCGTGGGGACTTCCGATGCCAGCGCGGCCCGTGGGGCCAACGTGGGAACCCTCAAAGGATGTCGTGAGGGGCCCTGGAGCCAATAATGGGGCCCACAGAGGCCGTCGTGAGGGCTCTCAGAGTCAGATGCCGCCCAAAAAGTCGCTATGTGGGCCGAGAGACCGGCATGGGAAGCACCCGACCGTACTGGACTCTCAATAGTCCCAGATCGGCTTTTGTCTACATCACAAGTATGTAATAAATGATTTGACGGGCTGTTTGAAGGACAGCCTACGGATTTAGGGGGGCGTCTTTCCCCATCAGGACAGGGGGCATCTTACCCCAAGGTACCGAAGTAACATTAAATCAGTACAATTTGTTAGCCATAAAACTACACCCTGAAACAAACTGTTTGGGACACAGTACACGCATGCTGATGTGTCACGACTATAGCAAGGGACGCAAAAATTATTTACCTTCTTTGATATTTACAATGTTCTGAAACCAAAATATTTTTTGAAAGCAGCAAATAAAAAACATGCAATCATCAGCCAGCTGTTGCCCAACTGAGCTTCGCAATTTTTTGTGCAGTTTACAAGGCAGGCTTCCGCTTTACGCTAAGAACATTAATTTCCAGGTCCGATTCTTTGTTTCGCCGCTAGAGGGGGTGGGGCGTCTTTCCCACCCTGGGCATCTTACCCCACTCTCCCCTATCCCAAATAATTCGTTTAGTGACCAGCCGCCGATGCCTCCCTCGGCCAGGCTGCATTGTGGTGGACGCGGCGTCTGTGGTTGCCGAGTCGGCCGGCAGTCGGCGCGACCTGTTCGGCTCGGCCGGCCTGGCCGGCGTTCAGGTGCGGTACGTGGCGGACGAACACTGCCTGCTGGACGCTGTGGTCGAGCTGGTGGCGGCCGCCGACCCCGACATACTGCTCGGCTGGGAGGTTAGTCAATTACTGATGGAGGGAGGCTGTTTTCTCTGTGGCAGGTACAGCAGCAGCAGCTGTCGTGGGGTACGTGCTGGAGCGTGCCGAGTGTCTGACGCCCTCTCCCCCTGTGACAGGTGCAGCAGCTGTCCTGGGGGTACGTGCTGGAGCGGGCCGAGTGTCTGGGCCGGCCGCTGACGGCTGCCATCTCCCGGCTGCCGCTCAGTGAACGGGCGTCCCGCGCGGCGGCCGAGTCCGACCTGTACGGCTCGGAGCACACCTCTGAGATCCACCTGGCCGGCCGGATCGTGCTGAACGTGTGGCGCCTGCTGCGGCCAGAGGTCAGTCGGAGAACGGCTTGTTCTATTTGTTACGCAATACGCGGAATGCTACAAATGTGAAATGGATGAGCAATCCTTTCAAGATGTTAGTTCCTGCATATGTTTTGCCAACAGGCTGTTGGGATGGGACTGCTTTTGTTGAAGTAGCATGCGTCGGAATTTGGGGATATTTTTCCTCTGCAACGCGGCAGGCTCGAAGAATTATGTCACGTCGCGTCCTAGCCAATGGGGGTCTTGTTGTGATCTGGCTTTGGCCGACTCCTTTGCGGTCTTTTTGACTGTGTCTTATCTTTTGTCAGGTGGCGCTGTACAGCTACACGTTCGAGAACATAGCGTACCACGTGCTGCACCAGCGGGTGCCCGAGGTCAGCTACCGTCAACTGACAGAGTGGTGGCGGCACCCGTCGCCCGTCAACAGGTCAGTGACGGGAGATCACCACTAGTGCCATAGTGCGACCGAAGGGGGTACGCTGACGGGTGCGGCGAACGACGCCCTAATGCAGGCCAGCCGTTTGCTGGCGAGTGTATTCGTATTTTTATTAGTATCATGTGTTCACACTCAGTCGACCCGCTAATCTCGCACAGTGAGGTATACTAGCGTAACAAATGAAGACTCGGCGTCGGCACAACCGGAACGAGGCCTGTAGCTAAAAATACCGATGTTTTGGATTACATGTGGGCATACCGAAAAAAAAACTAAAATGACAGGGAATGTAATGTAAACTCGATCCTCAGTTATATGCTAACAGCAAAAAAGTCGAATACTTAGGCTCGTAGTGCGCACGGAGAGTCCGTCAGGCAAGGTAAATATCGGTTCAATGTGTACGAGAACGGCGTATACACTATACTTTTCGTTTTACTTATGCTTTGATTACACTTCGCTAATGACAATATGGGTAGATCACTGTGAACATTACGTAATGTAATACCAGATGCATCATCAATAAAAGTTGCAAAAACTTGTTCTTAGGCGAACTACACACACAAAGACTTACAAACAGGCCTGGCGAGACGGCTTGGTTAGTAGAGGATATGCATTATTTTGTTCCCATTTGTAAGATTATTGGAAGAGACGTTCATAAGCAAGACCTTAGAGGCTTACGTCTTATCTAGCTAAGCAATTATATGCCTCTTACGTCACGTCCAACTCAATAGTTGATATAAAGAAGTATAGCCAGAACACCTATAGATACCGCCGGGGGCTGTCCCATTCCAGCTGCCTTCGACGCCTCGCCGGGCGGCGTAAGGCTGTCCAGCTTCATCGTAGCGCTGCCGTAGAACCTCTGCAGGAACGCGGCGACCTCCGTCTCCGAGTGCTCCTTCGGTCCGGAGAAGCAGGCCGGGCACTGCGTCTGTGTGGGGAACTGCACCTTGGGGTGCTTCGGGTCTTCGGTGGCGTCTCCGGCCAGCCGCTTGTTGACGATGTTGTGCGCGCGCCACAGCCAGATCATGGCCTCGTTGGTGTGTGTGACGTTAAACAGACCCTCCCTGGCAGACATCTCCTGGAAGTGCTGGAAACGAAGGGCGGGGTTTGTGAGCGAGAAATTCATGTCTTCTTACAGCCTGGGACTCTTCAGTCTTTCACAACATTAGACATATTCTCGCTTTGAGATAAAATGTGACTGAGCTATTCTTTCGACTTTTAGGAATGGTAACCTATTTGGAGACTCTAATAAGTTAGCTCGAGTGACGTTTGACAGCCGGGGCCGTTATTGGCATCAATCGTCTCACCTGTGAGCAGTAGCGGCAGCTGAAGAAGTGTTTGACGTAGCCGTGGACGGCGGGCAGCACGCTCACGTGTCCGCCGCTCTCCGCGCGGTGGGCGCCGACCGTGGCCGCGTGCAGCACCGACCACAGGCCGCACGGGTAGCCCCTGTAGCGGGGCTGAGAGCCGCGGCAGCCCTGCCAGCGCCGGTGCGGCGGCAGCGGGTGACGAGCCGTCTCCAGGTGGTGCTGAATCTCCTCCCCAGTGACGTTGTGACGGCGATTCAGGAACGTCTGGAGCTCAGAGAGGGCCTCTGTGACAGACTTCCTAACGGGCAGGTACTTTATGAGCATTTCTACAAAATTTCTCAGCGCGGACAGGGCCTCCCCGGAGATGTCCTTTTTGCCGGCGACCTCCTGTCGCAGCGCGTACCCCACGGCGTTCTCCAGGTCGACCATGTAGACGGCGTCGCCGGCCGACACGGCCGTGCCCCGGCCCGGCTCGGCGGCCGCCGCCGGCGCCTGGCCGTCCGTCCGCGCCGTCCGCGGGCCGTCCGGCGGCTGCTCGCTGTCGGTAACGCCCAGAGCCCGGCGCAGCGCGTCCGTGAACAGTTTGCGCGGCGGCAGTCCGTCGCGCGACACGAGCTCCGTCTGGGGCTGTCCGTCCCGGAATGTGACCAGCAGCGGTCGGGCCGTCTCTGTGGGCCGCAGTCCGAGCGGCGGCAGCACGGTGCGAGCCACCAGCAGCCGCTGCCGGTGCACGCTCAGGTCGAGCGCCACCTGTCTGCCGACGCTGCTGTTGGCAGAGCCCTCGACCACCAGGGCGTGCAGCGGCTCCGGCGACGACAGAAACTCCGACAGAGAACCGCTACCGGGCGAGCGAAAACGAAAACATTGTCATTGTCAACATGTGGGACAATTTTTGGGTTACGATGATCTTATGGAATGACAGTCTTAGCTGCAAGTTATACCATACATATTTTACTTGCGTTGATGAAACTCGAGTCAATTAGTGTTTTCCCCTATTTTGGCCTATAATTGTCCACGTATACAGAATATCGAACAGTTATCATCAGGGACTCGCTACTCACCTCGTCGGCTGCAGGTCTGGCCAACCGGGCTGCGGCGTCTGCCTCTGGACCTCAGTGACAAAGTCCACGATGAGATCCAGCATGTCCGACAGCTGGTCCGTGTGGTTTTTGGCCTCGCCGATGTCGCCCTCCTGGACGAGCGGTCGGAAGAACCTGAAGTGGGGGAAGGTGCTGACGCCGTGCGCCCGGCAGGTGGCGAGGTGCTCTGGGCGGATACAGTTGATGGCACCCACGCGCACCACGGGCCGCCAGTCTGCCGGAAGGGGAGGGGGCGGTAAGGAGTGGCATTGATGGAGAGGTATGCAGTGACCACAACTTCGGTCGCCGCAAGCTGCTCTGGTAGCAAGCGTAAATACGTCCGAGTTTCCTGTCGGTTTCACTGAATATTGAATGTCATATGGGTTATGAACTGCTTATTATTTTGAAAGTTGTTTGTTTTAGGGACCTCAATTATAAGGGCAGGCTAGGTTCGTTTATAACCTTATTGTCGTGACGTTAACTTACTGGCCGTTTCCTGGGCGACTCTGAGCCAGGTGGGCGCGTATCTCTGGCACTTGCCGCACCAGCTGTTGTAGAACTCGACGGCCCAGACGTGGTGCTGGCCGTGCAGCAGCTGATAGAAGTTGGAGTGGTCCATGTGCACCACGGCGCTGTCCCTGCTGTACAGGTCGACGATGTCCCGGCTGTTCCCGGACCCCTGGGCGGCGGACAGAGCCGGCAGAAACAGCAGGAGCGGTACAGCGAGGCGCATGGCTGCTGAAAGGCGTTTTGAATGTAGGTTAGAACAGGATCGGGATATTTCAAACAAAACGCATGGGGGACAGTGACACCATAAATTAACTTTGAGCCTCTCTCAACAGAGTCACGTATCGGAGTGCAGGCCGTTGATAATTTTCTTTCTACATTTTCACCACGCACCGTTCTAGTCATTTCTCTTTTTCACACACAGACAATATGCGATCTTCGCCGTAAAGTCCAGGCACTTGACGGTGCCCTGAACCCGTCGTGTGACCTGACCCCCACCAACCTGACCGCCCCTCCCAAACCTGCCCCGGCCTACCAACCCCTCAGCTCCCTGACCGCCCCCCTCCTTCCTTCCTCAGGTGGCGTGTGGCCGAGTACTACACGGTACGCAGTCGCGGCACGCTCCAGATCCTCTCCCGGCTGGACATCATCGGACGCACCGGCGAGCTGGCGCGCCTCTTTGGCATCCAGTTCTTCGACGTTATCTCGCGCGGATCGCAGGTGAGTGCGCGGAGGGGTGCAGTGGGGCCGTGTAGAATGGAGCCAATTTCTTGTGTGACGTAAGTTATCGGTAGGTACCTACGTTTATGCTATGGAAGACTGATAGATCGGGTAGTTTCGGAAATAAGAGTGAAACGATTTCATAACAATATTACTCCTGTCCTTGCTTTGTGATATGTAACTGTCGGTTTGTTTCAGTTCCGCGTGGAGTCGATGATGCTGCGCCTGGCCAAGCCGCGCAACATGGTGCCCGTGTCGCCGTCAGTGCAGCAGCGGGCCGCCGCCAGGGCGCCAGAAACCCTGCCGCTCATACTGGAGCCAGAGTCCAAGTAAGGCCGGGGCGGGCGTTGAACAACCAAGGGAGCAGTTGACAGATTGCAGAGACCGCAGCTGACACATACTCGATGCCTTGCTGGCATAGTTTGGCTGCATATAACTAGTAAATTTACCATTTTTCACTAGCCTGAGTTGACGTTGAGTATGACTGTCATTGATTTGTGTCTGCCACCGCTCCTGTTCTCACCCGACGGTCCGTGTTTGTTTGTTTTCAGGATGTACACGGACCCGGTGGTGGTGCTGGACTTCCAGAGTCTGTACCCGTCCATGATCATCGCCTACAACTACTGCTTCTCCACCTGCCTGGGACGTGTCGAGCACCTCGGACAGTGAGTGTTGAACGAGACGGACAGGTAAAGCCGGTCTTATGTGTCTGTGACATTTTTAGCGCCATGATTAATGTTGAGCGACAATCAGCTAGAACGTCATGTGCTGAATGAGCCTATTGCACTTGTATTTTCCTGCTTTTAGACAGGTTTGCTTTGGCAAGTTTGTCTAAACGCTTGCCACGCTGTTTTATGCGATCTTGTTGGTTTGTTGATGTTACCGCGGGATTTCCGCTGTGCCAGGCGCGGCGCGTTCCCGATGGGCTGCACGGCGCTGCAGGTGCCGCCGGCCGAGCTGGCGCGCCTCCTGGAGCGGGACCAGGTGCACGTGTCGCCCAGTGGTGTGGCGTTCGTCACGCGCGACTGCCGGCGCGGACTGCTGCCCGATATGCTGGAGGAGATTCTCAACACCAGGATCATGGTGGGTGGCCCTGTGGGCGGATGGCTGGAGACGGACAAGAGCATGGAGATGCCGATGGCGTTGTCGTTCGTTTGGTATTTGGCCTTGGATATGAGCTGTGCGACATTGTCGATCAAAATAGGAATTTTGAACGTTAACGAGTTATTTTGCCATGAATTGAGTTCGTCTACCCTCAAAACTGAGAGCTGTATACTCGTATATGGTTATGTTAATTGTTTCCTCATGCCAGTTAACTGGTTAACTTTTAACTGGCATGTTAACTGGTTTAGTTAACTGGTTAACTGGCATGAACCAGTTAACAGAGGTGGCCGGTGGCCGGTTATATCATGAGATGCTTCCACTACGTAACCTTTACGCCTTTCTCCCCTTAACCTTCAGGTGAAGAAGGCGATGAAGGCCAACAAGGATCGGCCGGCGGTGCGGCGCGTGCTCGACTTTAAGCAGCTGGGTCTGAAGCTGATCGCCAACGTCACGTACGGCTACACGTCGGCCAACTTCTCCGGACGGATGCCCTGCATCGAGGTGAGAGATGCGACGGCGGCGGCGCCAGAGGCGGACAGAGGAGGGCGTTAAGCTGCTTCTTTATCGCGTCCGCTTTGTATAGGTACGTTTAGTGCATTGCAGCCCTAATGCCTTTGACTTTTTCATCCCTGAATATTCGCATTTTAATCGGAATGATGGGGTGAGCTATACTTCTCGCTGACCTCAAATTAAATTTTGCCTTTGTTGGACAGAGTGTGGTGTTAAACTACGAAACACCCCAAGTAAGTCCAAGTAGGTATTCCGTGAATAAGATTACTCTTTTTCTTGCCAGTGGCATTCACTACTCGGACTGACGCGACTCTCACCGCCTCCTCTCGACCAGGTCGGTGACAGCGTAGTGAGCAAGGGCCGCGAGACGCTGGAGCGAGCTATACGCACCATCGAGTCGCGGCCAGAGTGGGCCGCCCGGGTGGTCTACGGAGACACCGACTCGCTCTTCATACTGCTCAAGGTCAGTTACAGAGGTGGCCGGGCTATCACTGTGTTCAATGGGTGGTTGATTATCGGCTGCCTATTTAAACGCCTGTGCCAGGGACATGGCACCGCGGAAATCAGTCATTGCGCCCGTGTCCGGCAGCAGATATGCAGGGCAGTTGGTTGGTGTGCCTTTCCATGGCAAAGGGTGATACAGCATACTAGCGTGATGACGAAACGGTCAGATAATGAATGAACCTAAAAGGGCCGCTATAATATGATGTGATATCCCTGTCCTTTCTTTGAGTGATGGCGCTGGTAGTCTTCAGCCAAATCCAATTAAACTTTAAGTCATTTTCATCCCAGCTGTGAGCATTAATACACACAGACGCATCCCCCCCCCCTACGAGAATGCTCTCCTGTCCTTAGTAACTACCCGACATGATCTTACCTTTACCCTGCCGTCCGGCGCCGATCTGCCTGTCTCTCACACCCCCGCACTGGATCTGGTCCGTCGTATTGAACCGCCCCGCTCCGCCAGACAGCTCGGTGGGACGGGCGGTCCGGCCCCCGGCGACCGCTGGGTGGCGTGACAGTGCATCTCGGTGTAGTCGGGAGACTCAGTCATGGGCCGCGCCGCCGCATTGTGGAGCAGTTTTCAGACGGGTTGGGCTCGATACAGATTAAAAAGTTCGTGAGGAGAGGTAGCGATTGATTGCCCAAATACCATAAATAGAGCGTTGCTAACGGACACACTGCCTCTTTAGAATGTTTTTTTTTCTTCTTCAGTTTTCCTTGCCTAGAACCGCTTTATATCGGGGATGGTGTGTGCTTTCAGTCACATTAACGTTGTTCGGTGCACCACTGGACGTAACGGGACCGTTTTGTCAGTCCTCTTATGGTGTCAGTATTACTTCACGGCAGTTTGTGTGCTCCAGACCACCCTCCTGACGGTGTTTGTCTGTGTGTGTGTGCGCGCAGGGCCGGAGTCGGTCGGAGGCGTTCCAACTCGGCGAAGAGATGGCCGCAGCCGTCACCGCCGAAAACCCGGACCCCGTCAAACTGAAGTTCGAGAAGGTCTACCAGCCCTGCATCCTACAGGTTGGTGACATCAGACAGTTGTCGCTAGGCGTCAGTCCTCTGTCGGGCCGGTATTATAAGCAAACATCGTTTGAGACATTGTAAACAAACCGGCGGACGGTGGGCGTAACCGGTTCGCATCTATCACTGTTTCGTTTCTGCCCGAAGCTATCTACGCGTGTTTGGCCTCCTTTCAGACCAAGAAGCGTTACGTGGGCTTCATGTACGAGACTGCCGACCAGCAGGAGCCGGTGTACGACGCCAAGGGCATCGAGACGGTACGCCGCGACGGCTGCCCGGCCGTGGCCAAGGTACTGTGTCGCAGCCCGCCGCCGCGCCGGCTCCGGGGCCCGAACTCATCACCCGGCGACATGCCCTCTGGAATGGAGGTGGCTGTTCGGAGTCAGGTCACGTGTCCAATCAGCCCCGGGACTTTGGGGAGTCTGAGCCGACCCGAGTGTCCCATCGGGCGTGTCCCCCATTCTGAGCAAATGAGGTTTCAGACCAGACGGTCGATTGACAATGGGTTGCTAGTAACTGGTTCTATTTTGGAGGGTTGTCGGTGATGGTTATAGTTGCAAAGGCTATCATTTGGGGTAATTTACCGGCATGCGATGGAATATAAACTGCTACGAAATATAACCAATGGATATCTGAATAATGAGATGTTTGATGTAGATAATCATTTTTTTATTAAAAAAAAATCGATATCTGAGCAACCAACCTGTCATCGTTGTTTGCTGGCCGTCCCTAACCACTCCCCTGTCGTTTCATTCGGTCAGATTCTGGAGAAGTCCCTGCGACTGCTGTTCACCAGTCACGATATGTCTGTGGTGCGCCGCTTCGTGACGCGCCAGTTCGAGAAGTTTCACCGGGACGCGGTCAGCACCACGGACCTGCTGTTCGCCAGAGAGTACCGCGGTCGGGCCAGCTACCAGCCGACCGCCTGTGTGCCCGCGCTCAGGATCGCAGAGTGAGTAACTGAGCGGGCTTCGAGAGAGTGGGGTGGTGATAGGGGCATGGAGCCAGCCTGGGGTGATGTTAGTGGGTCTGGGTCTGGGGTGAGGACCAGGGGTTCGCCATTGATCGGGTTGGTAATGGATGGTTTGATCGGAGTATTATCGAGGGCCGCGGGAAATTATGTGAACTGTAACGTTGTGCTGCCGCCGGGTCTATGTTGTGCCCGGTGACGAAATTGGCTTTTATTGGTATGCATTTTCAATGCCGTGCTTCGTGACACTACGCCTCTGTTATTGAGCCTTTGAAGTTGCCGACAAATGCTCGTTCGTTCTGCCTTGAGCGGCTGCAATGCACCGTCGGTTTCCCTCCGCGCGGCTCATAGCGATCATAAACCGGACGGTTAATAACGAACGAACGTTCCATAAACCCCAGCGACCCTCGGTACGCCGGCGGACCCCCTAACCCGCCCCTCTGTCCGTCCGTCAGCCGGCTGCTGCGCGCCGACTGCCGCGCCGAGCCGCGCGTGGGCCAGCGCGTGCCGTACGCGGTGGTGTACGGCGCGCCGGGCCTGCCGCTGATCGAGCTGGTGCGCACGCCGGCCGAGCTGCTGGCAGAGCCGTCGCTGCGCCTGAACGCCGAGTACTACGTGAGCCGCGCGGTGGCGCCGCCGCTGCAGCGCTGCCTCGGCCTGCTCGGGGTCGACGTGATGTCCTGGTACGCGGCCGTGCCGCGCCGGCTGCGGCTGCCGCCGCCGCAGGCCGCCGCCGCCGCCGCCACCATATCGCGGTTCTTCGCCGGCCGCAGCTGCGCCGTGTGCGCGCGCGCCAGTGCCAAGCCGGTGTGTGCCGAGTGCGCGGCCCGGCCTCTGGAGACGGTCCTGGCGCTGCAGGGAACCGTGCGCCGCCGCGAGAGGACGGTGGCCGCCGTCAGAGAGGTGAGCGGAGTGGGGAGGAGGTTCTATCAGGGGACTAATACAGAATGTCAGGCGAAACCGTGTGAATGGTCCTCGAACTTTAATCATATCGAATCTCGAACCCGGCCTGCCACGCCTAGGGATGCTCTGTTATGACCTGACCATCCCGTGTGTGACCAATACCATGCCGTATCTGATCTGACCTGACCTGGCCCTAGCAGCGATTATTTTCTGACCCGCCCCGCCGTGCCCGGCAGGTGTGCGCCGGCTGCTGCGGTCTGCCGCCGGGGGCTCCCCCGGTCTGTGTCTCGGCCGACTGTCCGGTGCTGTGGAGTCGGACCAGCGCAGAGCGGGGCGCCCAGGCGGCGCCCCACCTCAGAGAGGTGCTCCAGACTCTGGTCGCCTAGCCGCCGCTCCAGAATGGACTGGTATGACCTCAACTGAAGGAACGGCGGGGGGCTAGTTACTGGTTAGTCTCCGGCGAGAGGGCGTCCATGGCCTCCGCGTCTGGGCGCTCCCAAACCCGTCTGCGGGACAGCAGCGCGCTGACATCAAGCCCGGAAAGTAGTACATTTTGTCCAGCGCAACATATCAGCCAGGGAAAGTAGTATCGCTCGTATTGACCAAACCTGCTGATGACGGAACGGCATTTAAGTACGTTGAGAAAGATTTCAGTCGTTCGGCTGCCGGGACGTAACGATGTAAAAAGCGGGAATTTGTTGCTGCTCAATGTTTGTTGACACAAGTGCCAAGAGGTCACATTTTGTGCACTGGTTTGAGCGGACGGTAGGGTAATGTAGATTTTTATGATCTCATCATTTTTATCTTTGTAGGCCAGCTGCGGCCACTCAGGCTTTATGTTGGTTGTGTATGATGTAGGCGTTGCACGACCCTTTGCCCCGCACACAGGGCGTTGGGACATTGTGCTTTCGGAAGCTGATGCTTCGCCAACCACTGGCGCTGAGAGACCAAAGGACCGCACGAACGTGCTGCCTCCAACGTACAAAGGCTGTTTTGTGTGGCTGGTGACGCGCGAGCTGGGTTTAGTGAACTTGTGTGTTGAAACAGAAGCACTTGATTTGTTGGCACCGAATGTCTCCGTAGCGCGTGTATAGTCAGGTCTTGTGTTCTCTGTGTGTGTGTACATTTGTGTGTTTGTCGAGTACTCGTGGGCGTTGGGCGTGTGTTTGGTGTGGTATCATCAGTGTATCATTATCATCACAAGTTGCCATTTGTGCTGTTAAACTGGGAACCAAATACAGAAATGTGTGATTACCATTCAGCTAGCCAATGCGTATCAGATGCAGCTCGTGGCCTGAATGTGAACGTCTTGACATTAGGCGATGGAACGGTGAGGGGGGGGGGGCTTCTCTCTCACTCAGTCTAGATCACGGGATACCACCATCCTCTAGCGCTCGGCTCCCTTGGACTCTACCTCTCCTGCATCCTCTGTTTTCCTTCGTTTCCTCGAAGTCGGAAGGACCATCTCGCGTCCCGCGGCCCAGACGGTTCATCCTCGTCTTGCAACTTCCTTCGTGAACACTGATGTCACCCAAACACGAGCTGTTGGCCGAGCCTGTATTGCGCAATACGAGCGGACACCGCTGCCAAGTTATCACCTCATCATTTGACGGACGGGTGTGCCTTGGAAGACCGCCAGCCGCCGGCCGGAGAACGGCGGGATGCCGGGCGCACACGAGGTCATAATCACACACCATAGGCCATTCATGGGAAAGTGTGAGGGTCCCTGGATGTCGAACCGGTCGCGACTTCGTAAGGGTAGCTGATGGGTACGTAACGGGGTGGGCAGTGGAATACGACGAGACCCCTGAGACGTGATGATTAGGCGATGAGGGTTTGTAATGTATGATGGGAACCGCGACATGGCAGGTTCGTTGTCAGCACGGGTGGAGAATTGTGCTGGACTGGGGGTGCTCGAGCTCTCCCAATTCCACGCCGGCCACGCCGGCTTGGCTTTGGAGCCGCGGCCGGGCGGCGCGGGTCAAGGTCACCGCTAGGCGGCGGCGGATTTGCTGCGCCCGAGCACCCCCAGCTGGTCACAATTCTCCACCTATGGTTGTCAGGCAACTGGGGGATTTGGATCACGCTAGAGGGTGACGAAAATCCATTACCCCGGAGGCACAGCAGCTCAACATATTCAGTTCATCCTCCCTGCTAAATCAGACACTTGAGCATCAACGACATGCAAAACAAACAAAAAGCACGTCCAGTGAAAAACGTCGGTCAGTAGGTACCAGTATACAATTGCACCAAACCGGTCCAGTCTGGACACAAACGAGCATTCAACACGCGACCCAGTCACCAGGTGACTGCACAACACGAAAACAACACAACTAAATCACAAACACGACTTGGCGTTGAAGACTAGGTCACGGAAGTGTCGCTGCTCCCGGCCGCCGGGTGCGGGGACACGGGGCGCCAGTTGTCTGCGGACCAGTCGAGGGCCCAGCGCAGGGGCGCCCGGCGCGGCACAGTCGAGCGGACAATGGGTGACTGACGGTCGGCGCGCATATAAAGCGGCACAGCCCAGTTGACAGTGGATGCTGACAGCGGACGGTGGACTTGTCTACTCCTCCGCAGGGTCGGGCGGCGGCGTGTTCAACCGCTGAGTTCTGGCCTTCAGCCACCTGCTCACGGTCTCGTAGACGACGAACGTGATGGCGGTGGCCGGCACGACGCGAGTCAGGTTCGGCGCCAGGCCCTTGTAGAAGCCGCGCCAGCCCTCCTCCCTGCAATGGACACACGGGACACGGGGCAGGTCAGTGACCTACTCACAGGTCATGTGCGCCAGAATGTCGCACGTGAAAGGCACACATCAAGTTCGATTGAGCTGTTGACGCGGAGCTGTGAGTATTTATACCCGACACTATGGCTAAGAGGTCGCGGCCCGCCTCGGCTCCACAATGGCCGAGGTCAATGTCGCCCCCCCCCCCCTGCAGACGTCACCGCCTGGCAGCGTTGGTCGGACATTGGCAAGGTCCGTCACACCAAGGCCCTAAAACATACGTCACACGGGTCGACGGAAGGCAATGTCCTGCAGCTTGGCAGCCACCTCGCCCGTCTCGACATTGTACTCTGCCACTTAACACCGAGCGACGGCCGGAAAACGAGTGTTTGCGACGGTAAACGTCGAATGCAGGGCGGCATTGTGACGAGACTTCTCTCGTGTGTGAGGGCTCGGGAGGCGTTTCATATGAAACCTTAGGTTCTGGTCCCCGACCCCTGGCATCTACGCACTTCGCAGTTTCTCCCATTCCACTCGGCGATACAGACCAAAAACCTGTTTTGTTTGTGCCCATCGAGCTCCGCCGGGCAGACGGACGTGATTTACATCAGCCGTGCGCATTACACAACTGGCTGTTACAGTGTTACATCAGCCGGCGCGCTGAGCTGCGCAGTGCGTAGGTCGCTGAACCTGCGTGGGTCGGCTCGAATACGCGCTGTGGAAGAAACTGGTATTGGGCGGATAGAGGGACAGCTCAAATTGAAGACAGAGAGGCGTTTGAATAAACGGCGGAGAACCGCTGTTGTCTGTTGGTACGGAGCTGTTGATAGTTAGATTGTTAGTGTAGATAGTCCGATTAGATTGTTTTGACCGTTCTCGACCACGCAGCACAGAGAACAGATGCTCAAGTGCGCTTTCGGTCACTAGTGCGATGACTGGCGGCCCTTGCCGAAGCTTGAGCTCGAGCGGAGGTCGCCGTAAGACCAGGGACGTCTCCCGAGTTTCCGGCAGTCCGACCGCAGTCCGACGGCCGCAGTCTATATCCGTCTGCGTTATTAGAACGTCCCGGCAGGAGCACCGTACCTTATTAGACGGGAACGACGTCCGACGAGCGACGGAAAAGTTCCAGAGGCCTGAGACCAGAATAGCGTCATCAGGCAGGCGGTCTCCAATAGTGGAGAGCGGAACCGGATGGCGGATACACCATGGAAACGGACTGGCTTGCGCCAAACGACCGTACTGTGCTGTCGATCTACGACCACGGCTCGACTAACAACGGCTTTTTACTTCTTTCGTGCTCACAAAATCCTTTGGTCGATATCACAACGTTTCTGCCCTGCAGCGTTGCGCCAGCCCGTGCCCGCCGGTCTCTGACCTTGCGAGGTACGCGGTGACCCTGTCCGCCCTCCAGCCGTCCGTCGGTGTCGATGGGGATGGGGGAGGGGAGGTCACAGCCCCGGCTGGCAGTGCCGTCGGCCGTCGTCGGATCACGCGGCCCTTCTATTCCCGTACCGCCCGTCCCCAGCCGCGCCGGACGGACGGATGCCGCCCGTCCCCAGCCAGACGGGCGACAATGTGACGTCACCGAACGGGTGACCGATGACGTCACACGGAGCACACCTGGCTGGTCTGATCGAACGGTTGGGACCCGTTCAATATGGTTGAATGTGGCTTGGCCATGAACTGGGAGAGAGACAGACAGCAGTTGACCGATACGAGGAGTCTACAGTGAAGCGCTACTCCAGCCTGCTCATTTTCGCATCACTTAGCACGTATTTTTTATGTTCACTCCACACTCGGCGGGTCATTTCTAAAACGCCCGGAGAAAAAGATGCCCAGGTGTATCTTCCAAGCAGTCAAAGATTATCTCGATTCTGATTCCGCTGACGCGCTTGTAAGTAAAACAGGAGAAATGACGCTGTAACTAACTCCGACCAGCTTGTCACAAGTTGAGTCAGCCTGTCACCTAGCTGTCAGGCAATGCTGACCGTTCGCCTTGACCAGAGGTCCACCCATGTCACCGCCCCGGTTACGTAATGCGCGTGCCAAGCCGCCGCGCCGCGGATTCCTGGTTCAGCCGCCGGGGGCGGTCGAGGCCAAGTCGGTCGGTGGGCCCCGTAGCATTGAACCCTGAGGCGCTGGCCAGGTGCCAAGCCCTTAGGGCCAACTCAGCGCATCGTTTGAAGGGCGGATCACAGACGCTGAGTGAAGATGGACAGCAGTAGAAAAAGGACGTGATCGAAAAGTCCAAACGTATCAGCCGTAAACCTAGAATACCTAAGTCGCCTTCTGCCGGTACAGTCAAAATCTTGACAAATAAAAGCTATGTCGTCTGGTCGCTGGCAGCCTGAACAAATTGCTGGCTCGAAATTCATAGCAGCGTCAACAATTCGTTGGCCGTAATCATGCCGCCACCAAACCGGGAGCTCGTTGCATCAGCGAGCTCGTTGATGACAATGCAAACAACGGCATGATGGAAGAGAAAATCCATACATCGATAACAAATGACATGATAAAAATAACGATCACAGCGTTCGTTCAATAGCTTCGAAAATAATCGTGGCACGAAAAGTTCATGAATTCGGTTCTTCAGCTGAATATAAACTCACAACCTACGCTAAAGGGGGACCTGGAATGTTGGGCGCAACCTGTGCTAGCCTCTTTTTAGTTTGAATGAAGAGTTCGAACTACTCGAACGAAATACACTTATAGTTCTCACCATCAATAAAACCGCGTTCCGTTGTGTTCCCTCTTCCTACCTAATCCCTAGACCTAACCCTACTTCCCGTTCCATGACGGTCCTTAGCCAGCCGTTAGTTTGCACGCTTTTCGAGCCTGTTTGTCACCGCCGCGGAAGCCGCCGCCGTCCGTCCCCGTCCGTTAGCACTCACCCACACACAGACACAACCACATCACTAGACGACACTTTATTCCACACGTCTCTGAGTGACGAACCGCGCGCCGCGGGCGGCCCGACGTACACCGATCGGCCCAGCCCGCCCGCGCACACCGTCACACTCTGTCCCGGACCGCCGACGGGCGCCTCACAGAGGCCGCCGACACTGAGCGCACATCACAGTCAGTTCCCGTTCGGCTCACACGCGCTCCCGACGGCAGACGACAGACGGCGCGGCGGCGGCTCCCCCGGCTCCCCTCACAGATCTACTCTTCAGCGGCTGCGGGCTGAGCCGGCGGCGGGGCGGCGGTCTCCGCGCCCGCCTCGCCGCCGGTCTCCGCCCGTCAGCTGATCGCCCGGTTGGCCAGCAGTTCGTACACGAGGAACACACAGCAGATGTTGGGCGTCACGTGGCACAGATAGGGCGTGAGGCCCTTGTAGAGGCCGCGCACGCCCTCGTACCTCAGAATGCGCCGGATCACGTCCATGGAGCCGGCGTACTCGACGTGGTGGTCCTGGAGCCGGGCGCGCACCACCTGGTACGGGTAGGTGACGAACGCCGCCAACAGCTTCGACAGCGCCGCGAACTGCAGGTACTCGAACGTCGACTGAAACGGAGCGGGGGAGCGCGTGGTTAGAGAGGGAGTGAGGGAGACATGGGTATTGGGAGCGGTTACAAACACAAGATTGCGGCATAGAGTCAGTCACTCGCTCTGGAATAATAACACATGTAAAACGGAAGGAAACAAAACATCCTGGACAGGTGATCTTGCTCCGGAGTCCGGACGATCTGAAAGTCTCGAGCATCCACTCATACTGGATTCTACAATCTACAGTCAATGACCACGGTCTCTACACCCCAGATTACTGAACGATATCTCCTGGACCAGTAACCATGACTGAGCAGAATCCCGTACAGCGTTAATGATCCCGGGCCCAGGGACACTGGCTACATACATACACCCAGACACATCACGTGAGGGTACAGGCGCCCAACGTACCCCGCAGCACAATGTAAACATACGCGTTGGTGTACACGTATTCGGTCAACCACATGGGCCGGCCCCGACTGGATACATGGGTCAGATTCATGGCTACCCAAGAGGAAGCTCTACGACGGGGACCCTACTTACTTGTAGTGCAGGCAGAACAAACCGTCCGAGATAAAACAAAAACGAAACGCGTCACCCAGTCCACAGCTGCGATAACTAGGTAGACAGTAGCCAGATGGAAGAAAAGGTAACAATTGGAGCGGCGCCGGCGGCAAAAACCCCGTCCCACAGGTGCCGACTGTGAACCCGGCCACAGTGTGTCCCTGTCCAGAGGCCGGTAACGACAGGACGCCCTCCCAGCGGCGGTGGACCGACAAGGGGAGAGAACACGGCTGACTGACCGGTCCTCTCCCACTGACGTCACAGAGCAGCTGCGAAAGGTCAACGGTGACGTCTGGAGGAGATCGGGTCGCAAGGCGCAGTGCCGAGCCCGCAGTGGGACCCACAGGACGCTGAAAGAAAATCGCGACGTGCATACTGCATACATATCTTAGATATCTGACATGCCACTTCGCCACTGAATAGCGTCAATGTAAAACCTACAGTTGGTTCTACTAAAGCTGCAATGTCATGATCCAGAGTTTTCTAGATAATCATTCCTCCACACAAAATCCATTGAGTATCGGTCAATTAACTAAAGCCGCGGTATCCAGAATCCACGCTCCTGACCAAACGATCGCCTGTATTGCATCTGATAATCCCACTCCAGAACGGTCAGTTCCAGAGCTTCTCCGCGCACTACGCAGCAGCCGGTCAGGTATGTTACTATGCGGGCGGCGCCACGCGCCGGGCCTGGCTGGTCGGCGGCGCTGCGGCCTTGGAGAGCCCCTCTCACGGCACGCGACGTCACCAGACAGGGAACTGCGCCGCAGAGTGCGTGACCCACATTAGAAAGGGACGGAACGGCCGGGGAATGTGCTCATTCGGTGGATCAGAAGCTAATATGATGGGCGGAAAATATTTGTTATGAAGCCCGTTTGTCATTTCTTATCATGAAGGAGGAATTTTATTAGATGAAACAGAAACCCACCTCCACGCCTTGTAATTAAAATGCGCTCATGAGGCATTTCTTTCGGGGCTACTGATATCGATCCATATCCAATTAATTGGCCTATGCCCATTTCTACGCAAACGATTTAAATCATATGCGCCATGCCTCCGCTCCCCGCATTTTACCGCATCCCCTCTCTCTCTCTCCCCAGGCAGAGGCGTCGCTCCCGCTGTTACCAAGAGCCCAGTCTCCCTCCTTCCCCTCCCTTCGGGAGCATCAACCTCCCATCGCTCCCGGCCCGGACCCGGCGTCAGCGTGTCGTCACAAAAACAGGCGGCCGCCCCGCCCCCTGAAATACCAGATCACTCCGGTTCAAACCAGACCGGACACCGGGCTCGCGCCGCGTCTACCCAGCGGTTATGACGGGAACTCGGGGATAGACAGAGGGGAGATCAATGTAAGGCTGAGGTGACCAAATCAGTCGGTGACACACCAGGGAAATAAGCTAAAATTAGAGCGCTCTATTTATTGCTCCCGCTACTTCACCGTCTCCCATAGGGTCCTGTGTTGAGCTGGTGTCGAGGCTCTAAAAATGACGCCGATTTTTGCACCCTTCTCACGAAAACCGCTCGGACCGCCTGGAAACCAATTGTTCCGCTCTAAAAATTTCATGATCGACGGGAAAATGAATGAGGAAAAGATTGGTCCTGAAATAATTCTGAACTCCCTGTAGAACATATCGAAATATGGCTGCAAACTAGGAGCATGTCAAAATAGACAAAACAATACAAATAAACTTACCGGGATTTTTTTATTTTCCATGCATCTGTGTATGAAATCAGTCGGTTTTTCGGAAAGATCATCTTCTGTTTAATAAATAATTCCACAATTGCAATCGAGAAAAAAAAACATTTCCGCTGTGACAGCAGTTTTGGCATTGTGCCAGTAGTGTGGCGTGCGCGGTGCTGCGTGGTCGTCGGGACGGAGTTGTATTTTCGGTGTTTTAAATGGTTGATGGCCATTTGAACCAGCTTCATATTATTTCCTACAAATTTTTGCATCAAATTATTGCTTTGAAAGACCATTGAAACCCCTTATCTCTTCATGAAGCACGATCATATTCATCGTCGACGAAAATGGCGCGGGACTCCATGTGCATTCCGATAGAAATAAATCGTAATTTAAATAATATTCGATGATAAGTATCATATTCTAGTGACACATTTTCATAAAATAAGGCATAAACTTTGCAAGGAAGTCAACATTGGATAATTGAATTCTTATTTTTCTCACATATCCTTGTAGTAGTCAAATGGCTCAATTGTTAGATAGATGTAAGTATATGTTTTGGCTTGATGTTTGCTGTGAAACCACCCAGCCACTTGCTGGTTGAGTGGTTTTCTGATAATTACCTGATAATCATTTCTCCTTTTCCTTAAAAGAAACTAAAATTCCTTTCAAAGTAATCCATTTCAAGGAAAGGCGGCCTGCTCGTTGGCATTTCATGTTCTTGTTTTGTTATTGCTGGCAGTATTTTGATACAATAATGCAATATGAATTTTTTGCAATAATAAAACCTAAGACGAACTTAGTTAATGCGTCAATCAAACACCCAACAGAAAGATTGTGAGTCCTTGTGACGTGAAGTAGAATATTCTATGAATGTGTTATATAGAATATGCCAAATATTAAATTAATTATTATTTGATACCAATAGCTGAGCAGGTGAATTATGCCACAATATAATTTCATTTTCTGGTTTTGAAATAGCTGGCAGTATTTTACTTCAACAAATGTAATATACATGGAATACATGTTGTTATGTTACCTATGTTAAAAGTTTAATAACAGCCAACAGAAGGAGCTGTTTCAGCAGATAATGTTTGTACCTTATGCATTACCTTTCTTTTCTGCAGGACCATGCTTCCGCTGGGTGGTCGACATTTGCCTCCTGAAGAAGTTGAGCAACATGAAGACCACCAGATGAGGTGTCTGCAGTTCATGTGGAACTCTGCAGACTACAAGTGTTATGCCAACCACAACCAAAGTGCTGTGATCATGGAGGCATGAACCTCATGACAACACTTCAGATTTGCAGTTGAACCAAAGTGTGATTCAAACCACCTGTGGCATCTCACTCAATGTGTGAACAGTGTGATTATTGTGCAGTGTTCAGCTGCAACTAAGACATTTATTAGTGACTTGTTTTGCAATTAGCCACCAAAAGCATTTTTTTGGGCTGGCTGCTGTAATTTGTTGTGCACTGCGCAATAGTGGTAGAGTTTTGTCACTTGTCAAGTTGTCAGTTGTGCATGTTGCATGTTTCTCTTCCCTCGGCCCTCATTATCAGCTAAGTGGTGAATTGGCATCACTCAGTCTCCCCAGATCTCCATTGACTGTCTGTCAACCACCTAACTTGAGATGGTATTTGCTAATAGTGTCAGAAAAGAAGTGATTGTAGACATTTTTAGGAATATGAGCTCCGTTTCATGCGTGTTCCAGTGGTCATTTTGTCACATGTCCCATAGTGTAATAAATGGAAACTGTTGTTCCCTTTTGAAGGTACTCGCGGATGCAGAAAGCGTTGGGCCTAATTATTAAACGCACCCTCCTATCAGCGACGCACGAAATCGACAAATATCATCCTTTTTAGAGCAGGGGGAAACGAAAACTTGTGAACATAGCTGTACCTACAACAGTGCATAAGGAATTGAAATTCTGGGAGTTTTTGAAATTCGGAGAAACTCAAGTTGTCGACAGGTATGCCCCCTTGCACGTCAAAGACCGTCTAAAAAACAAACGTCTACAAATGAAGGCAGTATTCGTATGTTCGTTGTAATTGCAGCAGCCTAGCAACATGTATTGCGGTCCGATTGCGAATTACACTCGTGCTCAAAAACTGTGCCGGTAACTGCCAATGCACTTAGGTCATAGGTGAGGAGAGGAAGGGTTATGTCATATGTCAACATCATAGAAATGGCTTCATCTGAGCTGTGCCTATTGTAGTTGTACATAATTCAACCAATCTATGCATTTCGTTTCTTGCAATCTACTCATGCTTTCACTCCAGTTTCAGAGTAATCATTCCATATTGTACGTCTTAAGATATTGATTTCTATGGCGTTTTGCAATTACTAGCCACGTCTCACCTCAGTTTGGTTGCCCCGCATCGGCCCACTCGGCCGCTCTAAAATTGACTTACGGAGGAGGATGGTGGCTTTTATTTTAGCTTCTCCGCCGACTGCGGGGAGCGCCGTCGCCGAGGTAGGAGCGGTAGGAGCAATAAGTAGCTTATATTTGGGACTAATTTCCACGCTTAATTAACATTTTAATGTTATTTTAATTAATTCATGTTAATCTTTGACGCATTCTCTTTCTATTGATACCATCCACCGGTCTGAGAATTACTGCCTTGCTGCGTAAGGGCCGATAAAAGATCACGTTTTTAGGGGTATCTCTTCAACATGGGGCAGGAGCAATAAATAGAGCGCTCTTATTTTAGCTTATTTCCCTGGTGTGTCACCGACTGAAATGGAGGTATCACGCGATCTGGACTAACCGGCCATAACCAACAATAACCACCGACAATATCGAGCACTTGGCCTGGTGCGGTCCTTGCAACGAGTGGAAAGTTACCGCCGTGAACAATTCCGCTCAATGCCAAGGAGTCCTTCGAGCATTTTCCTTTGACGTTCGTAACACTGGCGACGTAGCGTGGAATGACTGAAAAGACCAGAGGGTCACCCGGGCCTCAGCTGATGACCTTCATACAAGGGCGGTATGGAGCCGGGGCCGCCGTGTGCCAGTGCGCGCCTTCAGAGTACTCTCAGCTCAGCATTGCAGAAGACGGCCGGGACCACCGCTCCCTGAAACTAACGCTGGACAATCCACCCCGGTGTTAATGTTCAGCCCGGGGTTGCTGGTCCGCTGTATAAATAAACTCGGATGACCGACTCTGTAAGTTCTAGAACCCTACCACTGCATGACTGTAGTCGATGAACTTAAAAGTGAAGTTATATAACCACGGTTCAACTTGACAGGTGCAAGTGGAACAGTATGCCATGACGCTGGACCGAAAAGCACCGTATCCAGAGTAGATAAGACCCAGCGCTCCTGTCGTCTCCGATCGATGGACATGGACACACACGTCTGACCTCGATACACCCCTGTGACGTCACGGCCCCGCCTCCGGCCAGCCCCGGCCCGCTCTCGCCGATACAGCTGTTTATGGGGGCGTGTGCTTGGAGCTGAACAAACGACCAGTGTTCAGACGCCGGTGTATGCTGTACTATACTGACATCAAACAAATACTTTGGACGGTGTGCGAACCATTAGGGATGCTTTTCAACCAGGGCATAGCAATCAAACACATTTGGGCGGAATCACGTTAACCTTTAACGTCTATCACACAGCAATAATTGCTCTATTTTCCATTCGAGTCAAACATCAGTCACCCATGCAGACTTCGACAAAGAGCCAACAAAAATCCGAGCGCACAGTCAATACCTCTCTAACCCACAGGCATCGTTCACATCAGCGTGATCTCTTTGGGATCAGACATCGCGCCCGATCGACGGTCACTCACCAGTTTGGCGTCGATCGCCTGTCCCCTGCGCACGTTGTAGGCCGTCTTCATCTGTTCATACACCATGAACTGCAGCGCTCCGTGCGACACGCCCCACACGCCCGGGATGAAACCCTGAAAAAACAGCGAACGTGAAAAATCGTATACAAATCGGAACGCAACATACACGATGTACTCGTTCCTGAAAAATTGTAAGCATAGGCAGAGAAACGTGAAAGTGAGAATAGCGGATGCCATGGTCATTCGGCCCTGAGATGCACCCCTCCCCCTCTCTCTGCAAGGAAGTGAGCGGGGTAAGATGATGACATTAATGAGCGGGACTCATTGGTCGTATGGTCTCGCGCAGCGCAGCCGCTGCCAGTCAGGGCCGTACCCCACAAGGTTACTGGTATGATGGAGGTCACTGGTGGATAGGTTAGCAGCGGTACAGCTGGAACAGACGCAGGCAACACTCACACAGTGAACTGACCAGTGTTATAAGCAGTGCTTTCACTTCGAAATAAGGCATTGGTGCAGAACGGGAGCTTGAAGCACACACTGCCGTCGCCGGGCTCAAACTTAACCTGACTTAAAGGGACCCTCCCCACCTTCAAAAAAGTTTATGAATTGGCATGAAAGTGATGTCGCTCGGTTCAGAAAGAGCGAAAACGAATGTCTACCAAATTTCACCGAAAAGTATTCACCGGTTTTCAAGATATTAGACTTTTACTTTTGTTTACTTTTTTGGGATCTCCGCTGTTTCTAGCGACTTTATTTTAGAAGTGCGGCGTTTGCGGCAGATGTTGCGCGCAAATAGCATATACCACCGCGTGCTACAAAACGTTTTAGTCAAACATTTAAAAATCGTTAGATATCTGCGCTGACGTCACACATTCAGAGGGGTATTCCTAAGCATTAGCCCCTCTGAATCAAAATGCTGCAATTTTGAAATTCAATATTTCCGATTTAAGGCATTTCTCGATGTTGTGAGTGCCGAAACCGGTAATTGTGAGCCAGGGACCCCATTTTGGCTATCTCAACTCAAATCTAATGTTAAGGTGGGAGGGTCCCTTTAAAGGGACTATCCCACCTTCTAAAATGTTGTTAAAACCAGTTAAATTGTGCCCGACTTTATAGATTGGATGACCAGGAACACGGTTCTGGCATTTATTTTTCATTAAACATCTTAGGCTTCCCATATTCCAAACACAAACTTTCAAATATGTGACGTCACAGCCCAAAATTACCTCCTTCCCCAGGCCACATTACTGTCATAAAGCTGATTCTTTTTACTCTGTAGGCACCACATTAAAGTTCAGACCAAGTTTTAAGGTATATGTCAAGTTTACGTCCTAAGCACATATCAATGATAATTGTTTCACATTCCTACGTATTTTGACGTGCTGAATCCAAAAATCATACTTACATGTCTCGCAAGAACAAAATTATCACCAATACACTAAGCAATTACACCTTCCCACAACACACGATCAAAACAAATCGAGAGGAAATTGAAAGTGTCCAGCCTTGCCATTTGTGAAAAATATTTTGTCCTTTTTTAATGTCGAGAAATAAAAACATTCAATATATTATAAAAATAAATAGGAAATATGTAAAAAATATTTATTTAAAAAGAAATATTATTATTAGAAATAGAATAGCAAAACAACAAAGGGGAAATGTTGGGAACCGGGGTTATTGGCTGGGGGGGGGGGGGGGAGGAAAGGAAAATCCTGAGAACTGGGGGGCGATTACTTGTGCAAAGTTGGCCAAAATCAAGAATGATATCTAACAGTTGCTATTCAACTGTGAATAATGACGTCATAATATTTCTCGCGGCGAAGCAGCGCAGTGCCGAAGGCAATGCCTTAGGAGAGATTACAGGCAAGAGTAAATCAAATATTTTTAGGTTAAGTGGTTATGTATCTGGCTTCAGGCCGAAGGCCTGAAGCCTGATGCATGACCACTTAACCTAAAAATATTTGATTTACTCTTGCCTGCAATCTATTCCTGCAAGCAACTTTTTCCTTATCCCCGGTAGGCAAAAATCAGTAGGTTAGGTTAGGTTAGGTTAGGTTAGGTTAGGTTAGGTTAGGTTAGGTTAGGTTAGGTTAGGTTAGGTTAGGTTAGGTCAAGTCAGGTAAGGTTAGGTTAGGTAACAATTAGATTTGAGGCAAGAACCCCGATTCCTAAAATTTCCCAAATATTGTAACCATTCTTATCGTATTTTTCTCCATCCCCTCCCCACAAACCCCGGTTCCCGACATTTCCCTATGACGTCATTTTCATTTTTTCTCTCCCCCACCCATGAACCCCGATCCCCAACATTTCCCTGTTTTTCTAACCCTCCCCACCCAATAACCCCGGTTCCCAACATTTCCCCTTTGTTGTTTTGCTATTCTATTTCTAATAATAATATTTCTTTTTAAATAAATATTTTTTACATATTTCCTATCTATTTTTATAATATATTGAATGTTTTTATTTCTCGACATTAAAAAAAGACAAAATATTTTTCACAAATGGCAACGCTGGACACTTTCAATTTCCTCTCGATTTGTTTTGATCGTGTGTTGTGGGAAGGTGTAATTGCTTAGTGTATTGGTGATAATTTTGTTCTTGCGAGACATGTAAGTATGATTTTTGGATTCAGCATGTCAAAATATGTAAGATTATGAAAGAAATATCATTGAAATGTGCTTAGGACGTAAACTTGACATTTACCAGTTTTAAGCGATTTTTCAACGAACAAACCCATTTAAATCAGAATGACCAATTGACCAAACGAGGTGACGTCACACTAACGGTCGCTCCATGTTGAAGATAGGGCTTTGTACAAGGCCCATTTTCAAATGAAGGGAACGAATTTCTTCAACACCAAGAGGCCGCGGGGGTTGCAACCTAGATAGATAGTGGTTTCTGAACCTCGCCGCAAACTTGGCTATCTCAACTCAAACCCCATGTTAAAGGTGGGATAGTCCCTTTAAGCGGCGTTAGGCAAAACACAGCACCCGTTTGGTTATCGCGTCGAGCCAATGCCCCGTACGTCCTCTCTCATTAGTCATTGCACATTTGAATTCACTGATCCCGGTATATTAAGCTCCACGACGTGATCACGGAATAAGTTTTTAGCATCAGCCCTGTGGGGCTTTGCAATTGGGAATAGCACATGACTCTCGGATTTATATTTTACATATTTTATCTCTCATGACCTTGTTTATGTTTTAGGGCCTTGCTCATGACTCACTGCGAAAGCCTTTCCAATTAAATACGATGGAATGAGGTATTTTGTGACGTCCCTGTGCTATGCCATCAGGAAGTTAATAATTCAGAACGAGTCAGCAGTTAAAACCGTCCCGGGATATACCGACATTTTCAGCACCGCAAGAATGAAGCAGCCGAAACTATTAATCGTCAAAACACAACACCCGTCCACTTCTCAGTTCTCAGAGCCAATAAAACATTCTTCCACAGAAAGCCCTACAACGCCCGACTACAAACAAAACAACGCTGCAATGAGACGAATCGATTCCATAAGAACCCCGTCACCCCGTGCCGAAAGGCGTGCCTGGCAGCCGGCCGGACCTCGGGCTGGGGTCGATCAATACAGTCTCGGAACGGTCTGACGTCAGCACACGGCCACACATGACGCTGAGGGGGGGGGGGGGGCAGGGGTAACTCGGGAAATGAATAACCTGTCCAGCGGCCAGCGGCCCGTGCCCTCCCGCCTCTACCTTCCAGTTCGGAAACTGACTCTGAAACTATTCCTCCTCTGAGTTTTCGTCTCCGAGTTCTCTCAGCCTCCCCTTTCTCCCTCGGTCTAGACTCTTTCCTTCCTCAGTGGCGGAAAATCTTATCTCCGGCGGCGGCCCTGGTGGCTGTCAGCTCAGCTCCAGAGGGAAGTCCCCGTCCTGTCCGGCTGCGCAGTGGGGGTACGTGGGATGTGGGAGCGGGACAGGGGGTCCCCGGGACAGGCAGGCTGCCGACCACCCCCGGTCGTTACCCACTCACCTTGTACAGACCGCGCACGCCCTCGTACTGGTACGTTTTGCGGAACGCGTCGATCATGCCGCCGTACTTTTTACTCTCGGGCAGGTTGGACACGTCCGAGGTGTACTGAAGGCAGAGTCTGCACGGAGAGCAGGAGGGAGGGAGGGGGCTCAGTCACGTACCGCACCGGAAAACTTTGTGATATTCTAATGCAAAATATAATTTGGGAAAGAAATATCAATAAATTAAACTGTTACAAACACGTAGGTAGTTGTTGGGTACAAATCTTCGCTTGCATTCCATATTACGAGCCAAACAACTCACGAAAGCTTGCGCAAACTTTTGAACGGCGATAACCCAAAGCACATTGTCCACCAATCAAGCTCAAATCTCGAAATGAAGCAGCCGGTCTAACCACTACGATATCCCGTTGTCATTTATTGCGCTAGACCGGTTACTTTTTGGTAAAACGAATCCGGCAATCTGGCCATCATACGCTCGCTTGCATCTTCAACGGACAGCGCACGCAAGGTACGCGAACCGCCGCGGGAAGGGTCAGAGTGACAGGGGGAGATAAGCAGAGCGGTGCGGCGGCAACTCACCGCGCTGCTGTCTCACCTGGTTTTGACCACCCAGATGGGGTTCGTGACCACCAGGGTGAGCACACCAGCCTCCGAGGCGGCCAGCATGTGCCGCGCGGCGCCCAGGTCCCTCTGTGAGTCGCCGTCCTGCATGTACGACTTGATGGACCCGTAGCTGGCGGCACGACAGCGGACACAGGTCAGCAATCGCGCTTCACACGGAACAAGCATTGAATGTCCACAAATAAATAGCGTCTATGCATCTTCAAAAATAACGATATGTTTACGATACGTTTACAGAACTTAATTTCCAAACATATGTATATCTAGCATGATTGAACGACATAAGCAAAAACACTGATGGCCTCTAATAATGGCCGAATAAACTGTGATGGATACTTACAACAGGAAGTAGAGCCCCCAGGCGGAGCCGGCGCCCCACACGTTGGGTGTGACTCCTCGGTAGAGACCGCGGACCCCCTCTGTGCTGAAGATGGTCCCGAACGCGTTCAGCATGCCATTGTAGTGTGGCCGGGAGCGGATCACGCCGTCATCCACTGCAGTACGGAATCAATGTCAAAATAAACACTGCTAAATAGTGGGGATAATTCAATCATCTGCCAGTGATCTGGACACCTTGTTATAGCAACTCAAATCTAGTCAGGGATGACAAAAGGTGATCAAGTTTCAACTATATTTAGCGACATTTTGATTTATTTTTATAGCATTTTGTCCACATATGTTCATTATTAGGTACCTACTCAGTAATATATGCATAAGGCATGTACAGATTACAGGCTCCAGCCCCAGGAGAAACAATTCATTAAATCTCCAGCAGTTCAGAATCAAGTTTAGGCAGTGGGTATGACTACAATCGCTGCAAATTAATGCATCATATTTTTTACTTAAGTGTCAAAAAGCAATATTTTCAATGAAAATCATTCCGTACACCATCCATACCTGCAAATCTGATTTTGATGAGATCTAGAGGGTGCAGAATCAGAGTAGATGCAATGCCACCTGCCATGCCTGCAGTTAAGTGTTCATATCTAAGAGATGATATCAAGCTCCTGAACATTGGAGTTGGTTTCTTCTGATTCACACTAGCCTCCGATGCCATGATTGTTTTCAGCTGTTCTAATGGCAGCTATAACCTGCCAAATCACCTAAGTGTGAGGGGAAAATATGATAAAAGCTTTCCTTATAAAGAAAACTATATGACAGATGAAGCCTGTCTGCATGTCTCTTGAGCATTCTTGAATATTGAAGAACTTGTCTTGCTCATGCTAAGCTTCATCCTCCACCACGATAACCTTCTTACGTCGCCCAGAGCACAATAACGATTTGGTCACAATACAAATGCAACCTTGTTTTCTTCCAAAATTAGCGCCAAATTGAAATTCACAATCTAACACGCATATGTCGGCACTTTTCCACAAAGCACGGACGACAGCACACGCAGACCGCACCTCTCCGCCCACGGACCTCGACTGACAACGCGCTCGGTGACTGACGCATATCGACGCAGGCACGCCACGATCGCCGCTTTTCCTCTCGTTTGGCAGCCTGAAACTCCTTCATGCGGCAAAACTTTTTCTTCAATTTCCGTCACCAGGATATGTGCTGAGTGCTGGGGAAACAGGAACTGTGCCCGTGCGATTGATCTGCATTAGGGCCTTGATCTGCATTAGTGGCCTGCGGAAAAAGGTGCTCGGATCAGTCTGAATAGATAGGTTCATAGTTTGAAACAGCGCCGTTGCAACGATGCTGCCTGGCCACAAGCGGCCATCACAAATCAACTCAAGGATGCGTCATTCGAGATTGCCTTATTCATATCTCCTCGGCAGACGTCTGTGTGATTTGTGACTGCAAATAGGTCACCAATCCATCCATGTTCTACACATACTTGATGTCATTGTTTGGAATCGTACATGTTTCCAGTCTCCCTTCTACAACTAGCCAAGAGAAGTGTTGTGCGATATTTGTATTCATGATTCCCATCTACTCCGCAGTCTCCCAGAAAATACTGTCGTTGTACTCAGCCAGCCCAATATAAAAGAACACAACCGAATAAGGCCAAACACATTGCGGCAGGTATCTCAGTCGTCTATTGCCCCGGACGCATTATGCTGCTGGTCGCAGTCGGCGCCGACCGCCAGTCGCCGGTCGCTGACCCCGGCCGGGTCAGGTCGGGTCACAGGGCCCCTCCGGCAGCGGGCAGGAGACGCTCCTTGGGAGCGGGAGCCGCCGGCGCCGCGGCCCTCACACAGCAGGCACGCTACAGACGAGCGGCGAACGCTGCAACGGAGACAGGGAGTCAGAGGGGCCGGGCAGAGCGCTACCGCACGGAACAAACAACAGATCATAACGTTACTGAATGGACAGAAAGGTAGGTTCAGAAACAACGGACGACGTTGTATCATTGTCGAAGTGGCGTTGAAAAGGCAAGAAAGACATCGCAATATATTATCATTACACGTCTGATATGAACTGTAAAATATACAGGGAAGCAGTAAATAGGTTAGTGGCAGGCTTGAAGAAGGCGGCCGTTGGCACTAGCGGGCAAAAGTAGATACATTTTACTAGCTTTCTCTGCTAGCGACTGCTATCACAAAAGCGAGCAAATAAAGCCGTATACATGGCTGGGGTTAATAATATGCTGGAAGCTGTCATTGCAGCACTCTACCGGGCTAGCCTAAGCAGTGAGCTCGTGAGCCAAGGACCAAATTACACTCGCGAGTGAGGACAAAACGTGACTGTCGACTCAAGAGTCAAGACGGTATAGGCAATACGTTAGTGCAGGGGTGGAATGGGGTAGGAGGCGTTAGCGACATAAACGAACTGATACCGGTTTAGAAGTGCTCCCAGAAATAATCAAAAATGGTTGGCAGAAACGCTGGTGACGAATACCTGATTTGACGTCCAATGTGCAGATTCAGAGGATGTAAATTCATTAAATTAAAGATACATATTATTATTTTAATTTGGTCCGAAAGGTTGTATAGCTGCGGAACCAGAAGCCTAAAAGCAGAGCTTGTTGCGTACAAATCTACAAGCGGACTACTTCACCCTGCCTAGCCGGCTAGGTGCGAGCTTAAATAGACATTACTCTACTGTAGCAGATAGCGATACGGTCCTCTCGGGTCTAAAGCGGCACAATCTCGACGTCACATTTTTTTCCCCGAATACATAATGATAGTTTACTGATGCTTTTGAGTTACCCCGAGGCTTGGAAGCAAATTAGTCGGCTATAAGTCAGCCTTGGCGATGGGTTTGTGACAATAAAGACGCTCGAGACACAACGAAAAGAGACCCTGGCAGCGTTACGAAGCTCGGCACTACTCTAATGACAGCTACCCAAGCTATCCACATGTCACATTACCCGGGAGAGAAGGGTCGCTGAACCACCATTTACCTCGGCTATACAAACATCACCAGGTCCTTACATTTCGCGCTGTCGAATATCTTTGTCAGATTGGCAAAGACCACGTCCGATTTCTGGGCGGCGTCCACAGAGGCAAGGATGCCTGAAATAGAGAAAACAGTGACAAAAATCTGCAGTGGATAGACTCAGGCATAGATAACATGACTCAGGGTTAGCAAACGGTCAGTTGTGGCTCCTACCCAAATAAATAATACAGCACATTGTGTCGAAGACCCAAGGGCGTAGAAATAGTGCAGTGATATTGATGGCAACAGCTAACGCCGGCATGTAGTTCCGAGCTGGGCTGGTGTATTATTCATTACATGACGGACATTCCTATAAGTTATAACACAATCCCATGCCCTCCATTCCCAGCACCTACATATCGATCCCTGCCCCCTCCTCTCCCCCCGCCCCCCAGCTACATTTGCTCGCCACGGGGCCTGTGACTGACAGTCGTACACCGACAGCTGCGTTCTAGCACCGATAGAGACCGACTGCCGCGCCGTGATCCGCTCCACATAATGCCACATGTGGAGATATGACAGCATTCCCAATCCCATTCCGCCCAAATCACCACCACTAAAGCTTTTCCCCGCCCGCTAGGATCGTCTGACCGTTCCAACGACACCGCCCTACCCTCTCCGCCCCAGCTTTTGAGGCCACCCCGACCGCCGGCCCTGCCCACCTCTGCCGCTGTAGTAGTCGCAGAGCGGCTTGGTCTGTTTGTGGTAGTAGTCGAGTCGCTTCTTCAACGACTCGGCGTTGTCATCAGAGCGTCGCATCAGCGGCTCGCCTGTGACCTGTCACGAGCGGACAGGAGTGTCAGTCAGAGGGTCGTGGGTCACTCGGGGCCGCAGCAGTCACGGTGGGAGTGACGGGGAGGGGATCGGGACACCGACAGAATGCTCTTGACGTTCTCGAAGATAACAGAAGATGACTGAAGAAGGAAGCTAACCAGCATAGCTATTCTAAATCATGACCAGATATGCCTTAGGACGAAAGTACCATTAAAACATCAAAACATAAAACCCGTATATCTGAAGTTCACCACGCATAGCGATAAAGTCCATGAATGGGCCGAGTAACTAAAATAAACACTGTCCGCGTGCGTCCGCCCTCAGGTGACAAGTCTCGCCCGGAACACCAGAGGTCAAAGGTCGGACGGCGATCGCCCCGTCAGCTCAGCGGGACCTCGGTAAGCCGAGCCGACCGCACACGGCGCCCGTACCCGACGCCCGTACCCGGCGTCAGGCCAGAGTCCGCCGATAACGAGAGACAATGACGGCAGCTCGCGGTAGCGGCGTATTACCGGAATTATCGGTATTGCCACAGCGCTCCCGTCACCCCGCAGACCAGATATGAACGAACTGCACCGTCAGCGTAGTCGGTAGCTGGGAGGCTGCGAAATACCGCTGAGAAAACATCATTTCAAAGGATGCATACAAATGATGTCAATTGTTTCCATTGCCGAAGTAAAACAAATTCACGAAAGAATTCGCGACATTTTTCCATGTTCCGTGTCATACTCGTATTTCCTTTACATTTGCTTTGAATGAATGAACCTCCCCCTTTGAATGAAGTTCCCTCGTCGAACGCCGAGACTATCTCCGCGGCCTCCCTCCAGCTGCTCCCCTGCGGCGGTACTCACGTCGTCCGTCATGGGGACGCGGGGCGGCGCGAACTCCTCGTGGTAGCTCCTGCCGGAGGCCCGGTGGATGAGCCGGCCAGTGATGCGGCGCACCAGCAGCGAGTCGTCGATGCGGAACTCGACCACCGAGTCGAGCGGCTTCTGGCGCGCCTCCAGCAGCTGGTCCAGCTTCTCGGCCTGCACCACCGTGCGCGGGAAGCCGTCCAGCAGGAAGCCGCGCGCGCACGGCGCCGAGTCGAGGTTGGAGTCGATCAGGGACACCACCAGCTCGTCACTCACCAGCTTGCCTGTGGACGGAGACGAGAGTACATGGTGGTTACTGGGGTTTGAGGGAGCTGCTGCGGTACAGCAGACGACATAGGTATTTTGATGAAATTTGGTGGTATCATACCACTGTATGGCATGCAGATTCACTGACAGTAGCATTTATGAACGCCAGCTACGCATCGACTGAAAGATCACCGATTCGGTCCGGTTGTGGAATACAGTAATGCCCCGACGATCTACCGCGGTAGTTTCGCCGTCGCCCACTGACTGACCGGCGTCCATGGTGGCCTTGAGCTCCTGTCCCAGTTTGGAGCCGGACGCCACCTCCTCCCGCAGCATGTCGCCCGTGGACAGGTGGCACACCCCGTAGCGCTCCTTGAGCAGCGGCGCCTGCGTGCCCTTGCCAGAGCCGGGCGGCCCGAGCAGGATGGCGCGGATGCCGGCCTGCGAGCGCTGTCCGCGCGCCGCGGCCGTCTCTGGGAGCACCTCGGGCGCGGGCTGCACGGCGGTCGGCGCCATCCTCGGCTAGTGGCTGCCGGGGGGTAGGGACACGATCGTCAGCCAGTGTGTGCATGGGGGGGAAGGGCGGGGGGATTGGGAGGCTGGACTGATCAGTTTGCATACATTACTGTACTAGAGGAAAGGATAAATGGATATTTCAATAATCCAGGTGACTGCAAGTGGAAAATCTCAACCAGTACCTAGCATGTTGGAATAGCATCAAGCAAAATTATTGCTCAATCAGATAGGAGAGGGGAGAGATGGTTGGGTGGGATAGGGTGGGTGGGAATGATGGTCCAGTATGTGTGCATCATATGCAGGGCTCATGCAACTAACATGCAGTGTGATAGCACCAATCGTTTTCAAAAAAGCGACCCAAAAATAATAATAGTAGGAAAATATTACCTAGGTACTCAAAAATTTATTGGAAAAAATGTAAGCTCCTACACCAAAGTTAATGTAAAAATATTGCCATCAGAGTAAAAAATAACATTGTGAAAACCTAGCTAACTACTTATGATTAAGCCAGAGCAAGTTATAAGCTAGGTACTAATCCAGTTCCGAGCTACGATGCCTGTTGCATTTATGCTCCAATTCGAACCAAACCATATCATTCCAAACTGCAACCATTCATGATACATGTCACATACTAGAGGTACCTACTATCACGAGTTTGACCAGTTCCACCGCACGTTGAAATTTTGCAAAAGGCTGTAAATCTGAATCCGAATGGCAGTTTCAACACCTCATCATAGGAATGTTATCCTTTGCAGCCTTCAAACTCGCAAATATTTTGGCTTTTGAATGATTCAAAGTGATAAAGAATAGAATGATACTTTTCCTCAGGAAAAAATCAATAAAAGCAGCAAAAACCATCGTAATTATTGGAAAACTCCTAACATGTGTCCTCACCTGTCAAAGACGAAAGTAAAGAGGGAGACTGAAATTTTGCCGGCTAAAGGGAAAATGTGTAGACATAGACGGCGATCGTGAGACATTCCATCGTTAAAGTTGATGACGAAGCTGCTTGGAAAATAAAATGACAAAAAAATAGAATATGTATATATATTTTGCTCAAATGTCTTTGTTTTTGTTATATGCTTCATTTTTAATCAAACAATAATACATAAATGACTATGACATGAGTTCAAATGAAATTAAGTTGTTCTAAATTTAGAAATATTTTAGACATACGTCATATTTTGGGTGAAACAAAAAGTGATTTGGTAGCTATTATAGAATTGCTTCGCTTCGTTTTCCTTCATCAACTGTGAATTCCCTTTCTTTACCGATTGCGTGACTGGGACGCCGGTGAAAACAGGGCGCCGGAGGGCATATTAGTCACGTGACATTTGGAACTTCTCCCCCTCCCGTGGGCCTTCTACATGCCAAATGTCACGTGTGAATTTCACGAACCTTGATCAAATCGCCCCAGGCGCCCTGTTTTCACCGTCGTCCCGTGACTGGCCCTGGCCTTGGCCTATTTCAATTTGCGCTCGCTTTATGGAGTTAATAGCGGAAAGTAGATCAGTTTTAGGCCAGGAAGTGTTTGTGTGGTCACCTTGGGGACTGGCTCATGCTTGATTTATTTGATATGCATTTTCCGAACAGAATTCACCGTTGCAGCTCAGGCCAATAATTGGTGTTAACAGTAAGGCTGATCTTTGTGAAGTAACAGGCCAAAACCATATGGGACCCCTGCATGGGATTTAATATTTTCTTGCTTAAAAATGTTCAAGAACAAATCTGGATATTCACGGCTTGGGTCTCCATTGAGGTATGTGCTGTGCCGAGGAATAGCTCAATGCTGTGTTACAGTGCCTGCCTACCAAATCCAAATTGAAATCCTGAATCAATTTAATAATCTGCATTTGTCCTAGTCTGAATCTGTTTCTCCTTGACTTTGAGTGACATTTATATTAACTTAACATTGGTAGCATTAGTGATGATATGTGCTTGAGAACTGTAGCCTTTTAGACCAGGAAACCATGTTAACGTGGGCCCAGAATGACCTCGCAGTCGGCGCGCCCCTAACCCCCAACAAACAAACAAACAACCATGTTAACATTTCCATCCATATTCCATACCTACCAAATGCGCAGATAGCTGCATTGTCTTGCCCCTGTTCCTGGTGCCGTTGTGAGTGCATTGTGGCAATTGTAACCCTCACTACCCCATCCTTTGACAATGCCAAATTTCTCTGTGAGCAACACCATAACCCATTAATCTTCCAAATCTTTCTGCAGATGGGGTCCGAGCACTGTGTACTGTGCTCTAACCCTCATCTCATTGCCATGCCCCATACAGTTTTGTAACCTCTGTTCCATCCAATCCACCGACAGGAGGTCTGAGTACTCTGCGTACAGCGCTGAGTCTACACGGGACTCCAACGGTCAGACGTTCCACTTCTCGTCGCTGCCGGTCGACACGGCCGATGACGAGCTGGTGGAGGACACGCAGTTCGAGCTGCGCTCGCGGGCCAGCGGCGCGGCGCTCTCCTCGATGGCGGCGCCGGCGGCCTCGGCGACCGGCAGCGAGCGGACGCAGTACGTCACACACGACGTCTCCGACCGGGACACACTGCAGACCATCTCGCTGCGGTACAGCGTGCCGGTGAGTGGCGGAAGGCGAGCAGGCAGGGGGTGAGCTTCGGGGGAAGGTACTAAGGGGGTAGAAATGGAGAGGGGTGCTTGTTGCTGTATTCCATGAACAATTCATTGTCAGTCAGCCAGTGGCTCATGGCTTGTTCCATCCGTTCGGTCGGTTTGCTCGCCGCCCCTACTGTGTAAGATGTTCCTCAGTGCAATCATTGATCGAGTTTTCTCTCCCCGATTAGCCCTGACCGAGCTGCCGTCCCCCAGATCGCGGAGCTGAAGCGGGCCAACCAGCTGTACTCTGAGAAGGAGCTGTGCGCGCGCCGCTTCATCAAGATCCCGGTGTTGCCGAACTCTGTGCTGACGGAGGGTCCGCCCACCGAGCAGCTGGTGTGTCTGGAGCCGGCGGACAGCGGCGGCGGCGGCGGCCCGGAGACGTCCGGCCGGCTGTCGCCCGGCTCGGCCGACAGCCGCGGCTCGGCGGCCAGCACCGAGGTGCGCCCGTTCGGAGACGGCGTCCGCGAGGGACACAAGCTGCTCAAGAACGTGGACCGCGAGCTGACGGCCGTGCGCGCCAAGGCGGACGAGCTGCGCGCCGACGGCGTGCTGACGGGCGGCCCGCTGGCGGCCGACGTCGGCGCCGGCTCGGCCTGGGTGGCCGGCGCGCCGCGCCAGGGCGGCGTGTGCTCGTGCTCGGGCGCCGACTGCGGCGTCCACTGGCTGTGCCTGCTGGCGCTGGCGCTGCTCGTGCTGGTCGTGGTGCCCGTGTGGTACATCGTCCGGGAGTACGAGACGGACAATCTGGGGCACCACCACCACGAGCGGACCACGGCCGCCAGCGCCACCGGATTGTGAGACGGCTGACACCGCGCGGTGGCGGCGCTCCGGCCTCCGCCGGGACTGGGTCTGTCTGGAGCGCAGCCAGAGGTGAGTTGGAGCTCCATGGTGAGGAGACCAGACCTGGGCTCTGACACTGGGCATTCGCCGGTCGGCTGAGGAGCGATCCGAGCCGCCCCCCCTGCTCATAGTAGTTTGGTGGTAGCGCGGGGCTCAGAGGGACAGACGGGCGGCTAGTGGCGTACGAGCGTCGTTGCACGGCTCTAGTCAACGACCTTAAATGTGACAATGGGAACGAATGCGGCCAAAAAGCACTTGTGACTGACGACAAGTGCTTTAATTTGATAAAAATCTATATAAACACGGTGAAGGGCGCATGCTATGCGCTTTGTTCTCTGGAACGGGTCGGGTGTAATGTTAGGTATGCATTTCGTGGTACTTATCAACCCGCTTTTCTTTCACATCACTATGTCATTTTCTTCGCCATCGGACAGGGTTTAATAGCTTACTTCGAGACTGTCAAAGAGGTTTACATTTCTGTCCTTTTCGAGCCGGTGTGCAGCTGCATTCCAAAGGCAGGTCACAGTGATATGCGACGTTTATTAATTTGGTCCTATAATTACACCCCTTTTCATATAAGACCATGACCCATGTTTGGCCGTACCCTTGCCACCCCACCCCCCCCCCTTAGCGAACATTGCGCCCCCTCCCCCAGCCAACATTGCGCCCCGCCCTCCCGTGTCCCTGGGGACCACGTCACCCCACAGCGCCACTTGCTGAATGTGTCACTAGTGCAATGTAGACTACAGACGCAGTTAGGCTAGTAACTGAGTTTATTCCCGAACTCGACTACAGAGAGGCTGTCTTCCATGCGCGCCGTTCATACCTATTTTTGTACACCGGTGCGCAGCGACTCACACCATGACTCGCGACTCATGAACCAAGACTCGTGAGTCGCGTCATCGCCCCTGTTAGGACCAATATGGTCGGTTTCCCGGGAGTTCTGTGTAGCAAGGCACGTGCCAGGTAGTCCACATGTGTCCACCTAGAGACGAATGTTAACGACTTCGTGCACACCTGTGCGAGGCCGTGTGGTATTCAATGGTCGACAACAAAGACGTAGGAGCCTGATAGTGGAGTCTGGTAGGATGTGAAAAATGCAGAGGAATAATTATCCACGTTGAACTGTTTAGCCGATGTTCGGGTGATATATTTTGGAATTTCAGCTGTGGCAGATGCTGATGTGTGTTTGCGCGAATGAAGTGTCCGATTCTGTTTTGGAGAGGGAGTGTTGCGGATACTAGCGGCGTTGTTCAAGACATTACGACTTTCACGTGCTTCAATAGGGTGCTTTAATTAGAATCTTTCTTCTTTTCTTGTTACTGCTTTACTGACCCTTCATTTCAATTTTGTGGAACATGTGTCACACCGACTTATTATTGCCGCCTCGTTTCTCGCGCTCTGTCCGTGTGTGATAGGTGGTGGACCCGTGGGTATTGCTGGGTTTCAGTGATGCTGTTTGTCACATAATCAGTTGTCACGAAACGCAGCCTGTGTAGCGTGTCGGATACTGTCTTTTCGTTTTCTGCGCGGAATCCGCCACGTCTGCTCAGTTCTGTCGCGGGGCCGCGGTATGATTATTGATGGGCAGTTTTATGCTCTCTGTCGTCGTGTGGGTGCCGTGCCAAGATGTGCCGTGAGGCGGCTGTTGTCCGGGTGCCGGGTGTCCGCGGGGAGGTGCCGTGTGTCGGTCGCTCAGTCGGCGGCCCTGCAGAGCCGCCGGTTGTCGATGCCTCGAACACGTGATCTGACCGTCCCACTCTGTGGCCCAGTGAGAGCCACTGCACCCCGACTGATATTGCTCCGTGCAATACCGGGGGCCCCAGAGGAGTTACATGGTGAATACATATCTCTATTAACGTTACCGGAGGCGTTTGTGTGCGTGGGAGTTTTGGAACGTTGGAGAGGAGGAACTCCATTCGTCCTGACCTGCTGTGCTGATGATCCGCTTAGAACCAGAAAACGTCGCTTTGGCTCGTCTCGCCTTCCGTGATTCCGGATATTCATGACTACCGGACAAGAATCAATAAAGACGTGGAAAACTTTACAAATATATAATGCAATGACATCAAATATGAGTAGCTTTTAGCTAACAAACGTATGAAGAGAACAGTTTCAGCGAAAACCACGTCACAGAAGCTGCTATGCTTGCTCGATCGATAAACCCCACTTAAATAAGTACTCGTCAAAAGACAAGAGAAGACATCCGAATATCCACATATTCAGATCCCATTGACCACGAGGTGGCAGCACATTTCACAATCACCTTACACGTCTAAAAACTCTAAAAGGCACTTAGATAAGCTCGAAGCGCGTTTTGGCACATCGTTCCCGCCGAGTATCCCTCGGTGGTGTATCTCCCGACTCGAGGTCCGGGCTGCGGCGGGCTCCCACAGCAGAGCCGTCTGGCGCGGCCCCGTCAGGGCGGCTCCCAGTCCCTCAGTACGGGTACATGGAGACGGCCACAGATACCACGAACTTGGACGTCTCCTGCCAGCCGCGCACCTCCTGACTGTAGGTGAAACCGTCGATCTCCAGCCTGAAACGCAGACCGGCGTCAGTGCGCGGCGGCGGGACGCGTCGCCGGCTACGGTGCTGCGCTACACCTCTCAGAAAGATGCACTGTGGTTAGTCACAAGGCCACAGTATCAACTCCACCGTCTACGTATGTGAGTAGGGCAACTTGCAAAACGACAAACGACATGTAATCCAAGGGCAACTTGCAAAACGACGAAAACACGTAATCAACATTCACAGATATATGTACAGGCATGCCTTCTGATCGTCTTCTGCTAGTCTACTACACCACAACATGACATGCCAAACAGAAAACAACACGCAGCGTGCACAGACGAAACCACACATAAGGGTAACGCACAAAACCGCTGACCTTCCGCGTCGACCAATACTCAGGTGCATACCATGCCATCCCCATCGTTCCCTCGGCTGAGCTCGCGCACACCAATCAGAACCCATTGATCCAACCGAGCCCGTCGTTCAGCTAATCCCGAGTCCAGAATCTCCAATCCGGCGTTCACCTGACCTGCTGATCTGCGATGGCTTTCTTTTCCAGTGAGCCAACTGGAGGTTGAGATTGGGTCTTTCTTATTCGCCTATCCGCCCGTCTTTCTTACCTTTCTATGTCTCACTTTCACCGGCTCATTGTCCCATCTCTGTCTTACCTGTACTCTGTGTCTCACTCGCCTCGATGTCTCATTATCGCCTTCTGCTCAGCCCGTCTGTGTCTCCCCTGCCTCCCTTCCAATGTTTCACTCTCACCTGCCTCTCGCCCCGTCCCTATCTTACCTGTACTCGGCTCCGGCCGGCAGCGGCCGGGTTGTGTACAGCACCCCTCTGCCGTTTTTCCGGCGCACCCCGAACGGCGCCCCTCCCGAGCGCTGCGCCAGCCTGTCGGACCACGGCCGCGCAGTTAACGGAGAGCGCGACCACGGCTGCCCTTCCACGGGCAGAGCTGGGGCCGTGAGCTCAGCCGAGCGCCGAGGGCCCGGTCTATAGAGGGGCGTGGTGCGCCCGGCCGGCCGAGGACGGTGCGGGGGCGCGGTCAGTCCACCGGCAGCGGGAGGCGCCGCGACGGGGCGGAACAGGGGCAGGGTGAGTGCTGCCGGCGCCGGGTGGTACAGAGACGCGGCGGGCCCGCCGGCCGGGCCGGACCAGTAGAGGGGCGCAGTGAGGACGGCTGCCCGCCTCCGCCGCCGTACAGGCACCAGGTACACGGAGAGACGTGGGCACAGGCGGGGAGCGCTGCGGTCCAGATGGCGGGTGGGGCGGTAACCGGGGCCAGGGGGACGACGGGGGGTCCATACAACACACCAAGAACCGTACAATGGCTACATTTGAGAAAGTCAGAAAAGGTTTAACTTGAGCTTCAAACTGAGGTCGTTAAACATGTCAAGCTCTTCAGCAATTACACCGAGCATCTGGCAAACTAAGGATTTCACTGAAAACAATCACCAATCAGGCACATATGAAATCCCACCCCTCACTATCCCTCGGTACGTCATCATTGTTACCTGAAGAAGGTCCTCTGGACGTGCCGTCCGGGGTTGGTGAGGTCGCTGACGCGCAGTTCGACCACGTCCTGTCCGGCGCCGACGCCGGCCGGCAGCGCCAGCAGCTTGTGGGACAGTGAGCCTGAGTACCAGGTGCCCGGGATACACTCGGAGCGCTGCCGGCACCGCTTCAGGCACAGGCTGACAGGGAGGGGGGGGGGGGGGGAGGCGGGGTTAGCGAGGGAGAAGGCGGTGGAGAAAATCTGAACAGAACAGAGCATGACAGGGAAATCGCCATTAGGTGCTCTTCGACACAAAACAGCTCTTGAGGGGAAGTACCACCGTGGCACCAATTTCGAGATTTTATTTGACTTCGTCCTTGGGAAGCCCACGGGCCACAACGCTACCCTTCGGTCCGGTCATAAGACCTGCTGTGCCCGACTGACCTGCTGTACACCCCACTGACCTGGTGCCCGGCCCACTGACCTGATGTAAGGCCCACTGACCTGGTGTCGTGCCCACTAACCTGGTGTACGGCCCACTGACCTGGTGCCGGGGTCACTGACCTGGTGTCGGGCCCACTGACCTGGTGTACGGCCCACTGACCTGGTGCCGGGGTCACTGACCTGGTGTCGGGCCCACTGACCTGCTTTACGGCCCACTGACCTGGTGTGGTGCCCACTGCCCACTGACCTGATGTATGGCCCGCTGACCTGCTGTACGGCCCGCTGACCTGCTGTACGGCCCACTGACCTGGTGTGGTGCCCACTGCCCACTGACCTGATGTATGGCCCGCTGACCTGCTGTACGGCCCGCTGACCTGCTGTACGGCCCGCTGACCTGCTGTACGGCCCACTGACCTGGTGCCCGGGTCTCGCACGTAGCCGGCCGGACAGCTGACGTCGGCGCAGCTGTAGGAGCCCCGCTTGTTGAAGCACGTGTGGTCGGCGGCACACGTCACGCCGTTCTCCGAACACTCGTCGATGTCTGCCGCAGTAACGGCGGAATGTGAAAAAGGTGCAGGAATGACGTCGGGACGATCGGGCAGGGCGCAGAGTAAACGGTCCACCAGCTAATGACTGTCACACAATCAGTTGGGTTTGATAATTAGCCATCAAACTCACACTCGATTACTGTGCAGGATTGTCAACATTAAAAGCTAAGAAACCCCACCCACTTCCAAAAAATGATAGACAGTGGGGTGGGGTGGGGTGTGGGGGGCTCATGGAGGCGATGAAGTTTATTGTGCAAATTGACATCCTCGGCTGGCCCCGTTTCGAGCGTGCCCTCCCGTCACCACTGACCGTCACAGGTGCGTTTGTTGGGGTTGAGCCGGTAGCCGGACGGACAGGAGCAGATGAACCCGCCGTCCAGATTGGTACAGTTGTGCTGGCACGTGCCCGCTATGTCACACTCGTTTATATCTGTGACATAGACAGGAAGGTCAAAGGAAGTCAACAGCATATTATTTTGTACACCCTAAATCAGTGCTACCAACTGATCAACGATCCACCTTGCTCAACATAATCCACTTACAACAAAGCCATTACAGGCGGGCCGATAGTCTGAGTCAGAGGTCGGCCGGTCAGACGAGTCTTACCACCCGGTCAGACGAGTCTTACCACCCGGTCAGACGAGTCTTACCACCCGGTCAGACGAGTCTTACCACCCGTCTGACTCTGGCAGTCGGGCGAATAACCGACCTGTGCAGGGGAATCCGGGTCCGTCCGAGCGGAAACCGGGCGGACAGATGCACCGGTAGGAGCCCTGCAGGTTGCGACACTCCTGGGTGAAGTGACACCGGTCGATCATCTTGGCGCACTCGTCAATGTCTGACGGTCAGAGAGGGCAACCAGTGAGAGCGGCCGCAGGTGATAGGAAGGGGATGGGAAGACGCAGCTGACTACGAACAGGAAGTAATGTTAACATGAACAGTAATTCAGTAGCATCTTCAGACCGTGAGCACGCGTGCATGTGCCCACCGTATCGATGGCCAGCATTGGCAACGTCGGTACCGGAACGCCGAAGTCCGTCATTAATGATGGTATTTAATTGGGACGGGACACCAAAACACGTTCTCAGGATGGATAAAAGACATAACCATATCACTGTCGCAGGATGACGCAAACTTATATCGAATATCACTCAAGTGATTAGTGAGCCCAGCCGTTCACTAACCGACACATTCGCCGGTGCCGGTCAGCTTGAAGCCGCGCTGGCAGGGCCGCACGCACTTGAACGAGCCGACTGTGTTGACGCACTGTTCGTCGTAGTGGCAGTTGTGCATCTTGGCCGCGCACTCGTCAATGTCTGCGCACACAGGAAAGGAGGACGGGGAATGTTCAAAGGGTGACAATAACCGTCACTGGGTGTTAGTACGAGTAGCATGCTTTGAACCGGATCAACATGTCCAATTGAGCAAGTGGACAAAGTGCAAGCCAATTGTTCGCAATTAACAAAACACATCAGATGAGACATGTCCTCTCAGAAGACGGAACCTTTACAAGAATCAATCAAGGTTGTTTGGGCTCTGGAAGAGGACGTCGAGGTCTATGTTGTAGCCCATTTCTTTTTTTGAGTCACGCGTTTTTCTACATCAGTTTGATTTCTCTTGGGTCAGTCTTGTCTGTCTGCCCGATGTTTGTCGGGCAGACAGACGGGTTCTGTTTGTTTACAGCTCTATTCGATTTGTGTTCTTGTCCAAGCTCAGCCGATCACTGCCCGCTGCTCGCTCCCGCTCGCCACTGACCGGTGCACTTTCCGTTGGGCAGCAGCCGCAGCCCCGGCGGACACGTGCACCGATAGCTGCCCGGGACGTTGATACACGAGTGACTGCACGCGCCCAACATCTGGTTACACTCGTCAATATCTGCAACAGACGGAGGGAGTAGGCTTTCGTAGACCACCTCATTAGCGGGGGGGGGGGGGGGGAGGAACGAAAATTGGTTCCCGTGAAATGCTACAATCTGGCAATGTGAGACACTCACCATCCCTTCATGACAAGAAAGACGTCTCAAGGGATGTTTCTTTGGAGATACTCCAGACAGTTTTTTTTGTTTGTTTAAAGTTCAGGCCAAAATGGAGGAAACTGAGAGTC